CTTATGTCAGAAGTTGTTGATTCTCTAATAGATGTTTTACCTATGTCGAAAGTTGTTAAATCTCGTTAATAGTAATGTACAGTAGTATGATTTGGTTATTTGATGCACTGATTAATTTATTTTAATATTACCCTATTGACATTACGAATGAATGCGAATAGTTTTTCAATAAGATAGAGCTCATTCGTATTTGGATTCACTCGAATTGTATATATCTATGTAAATATAACATAAACGATGCGTGATAATACGTTAGAAGTCGTTTGATTATATTCAACGAAGTATTTAAATTATCGGAGTACGTGTTGGAATGAAGAAACAGGAAAATAAAAAGAAAAGAAAAGGAAAAAAAATAAGAAAATATTTTACACGAATATGCATTTGAATCGAAATCAATGAACGGAGATGTTCGTTAAAGTACATATGGCAAAAAACCTTACATCCTCTTGTTAGAATTTTACATATTGTACGATTAACGAAATAGGCCGCGCTCCCGTCGTTAATGCAATTAACATAATAACGAGTAGTGCGATCATTATAGCAGTTGGTAGGAATAAACGTAGATTAGCTTGCTCGTTACTCGGTTTTGACATTTCATTGTCATCATCATCGTACTCATACGCTATGGTCTATGATATGCACTCTACTTCGGCTACTTGTTATGCAACATGCAGCAGACACGACATGCATTTCGTTGAGAGTTTGCTACTCATCGGTGCAATAGTCAGTTTAACCCTCGTCGTCTTTTGGCCGATTGCCAAACGCGATCCAAGACGGAAATATCACTCGAATTTATATAACATCAATACGGCGCCGGTTGATTTTTTTCTTTCTTTTCCTTTTTTTTTATTTCAACCCATCAAGCGATTATCTTTCGTAATTTATATTTCCAGTTTATATCCGTCACTGACGTTTGCGAAGTAAGATTTGCGTTCGATCGGGATTTTTCGGATAGGGACTCTTGTCAGACGCCAATATATCTTGTAATAATTGTAATTATATCCATACCTCATTAGATATTTATTTCGAATTGATCGATCTTAAATTATTCAATCAATAAACACGAAATAAATGGACGTCTTTTAATGTACCTATCATACATACGTACGTACGCACGTATGATTTTTGTTAGGAACGGTGCACATTTTTCACAAAATCTTCCTTATCTTGCCGCTGTAGATGTAAATAATAGATCTCAAGAAAATGTGAGTTAAAGAGTAGAAATTACGATTGTTGTTTCAACGATGAGCGGTGAACAGGCAACGGCGATACCTCGCGGCGTGTAAATAAATTGGCGGGAAAACTCGAAGGCAGTGACTATTATAAAATTGATGATTCATGGAATGAGGTCACGTTTCTAGCGGTAGTCTTACGTCGAACTTGTATTAATCTCAAAACAGTCGCTGTTCCTGACCCCCGCGGATGCAAACGTTGTATCGGAAGTGTGTCAAAGAGAAAGCGTTCCGAATGTATTTTCTACGGTGAAAAAATTTCATCGATTTTACAGTTCCAACATTTTATTCTGTTGGACGAGGCATATCTGATTTGTCACGAGATAAAGAAATAAACAGAAATTCACTTCAAAAATATCTTGATCTAAGGAGATCAAGATTCCTTTAAAATCCTAGACGACAAGGTGATCATAAGAATAATTTAATTCGTTTCAACGATATCGTCTTTCTCGCAAAGATTGTTTTATCAAAATATTCGGTGATAAAAAAAATAAAACAACTAGGATGCTCAAACGATCGTAAAAAGATCGACGATGATCATTCTATCTACGGATCAAAGGGATACTACGCACAATTGCGAATAATCAGTGATGTAATAATTATGAGGCACACGTAACTCGTACCGCCTCTAAATTGTCTCTATACCATCGTATATGGCGTTGACTGTACAGAGTACTTATTGTGCACTGTATGTTACCTCGTAACAGTGCACCAGTTCACTTATTACCAAAGCACAAGACAATATAAGCGACGCTCCTCGTTATTTCTAGTTTTCCTACTGTTTTATTTTTTATTTTCTTAATTTCGTTTTCTTAAACGTCAACGTCGTTCTTTCGTTCAAAATGGCAAAGGGAAAGGCAAAGAGAAAAGAATCAAAAGGGATGACATGCTGCGGGTGTGCACGCAGCAGGAACAGCGACATAATATGTAAATATACAATTATCCTGGGTGTTATTTCGTTTCATGCACATTATTTTATGCACGGTCATTATACGCACGTTTGTCATTATGCTTTTCTTAATCATTCACGATGAATTAACACGTATATGTTCTTCAAAATTTCAAAACTTTCGCGCCATTCGTATTTGACGTTCATTCAACGATCGAAAGGAAGTATGCGTTTCTTTCATTTGTTTTTTTTTCTTAGATTATAAATAGTTGGTTAAATGCATATCGAAAATCGTTTTCTGTATATTACATAATATAAATGGATATGGAACCAATGTGATTTTGTTTTAAAGGCTTGCGCTCATTAATAAAATTTAAATATTCCTTCTGGGTGTATATATATATATATATATATATATATATATATATATATATACAACGGAAGTATACTGTAACAATGGCACAGACATGCGTTCTGCATTGCAAATATAAACGTAAGCGCAAGACAAGGACAAACTATAGCACCAATCTTTCAAACACAAACAATTCGTTTTATATTAAGCCATGACCACCTCGTACTACGAATTACGTTATAGTATCAAATAGTTGTTATTTTGCTATATCGACTAAATCCTCTAGTGGTTTTACGAACATTAATGACGATAGAAATATATACATATTTTTACTTGTATATATTTTTTGTTTACCACAAAATGAATAAGTAGAATAAGTAAAGAAGATATAATATAGTCACATTGGTAATAATACAAGTATATGAATAGCGTGTATATGCATTCAGAAAAGTGACAAGAAGTTATTATATCTAATTAAGTTTATAGGAAGAGAAATATGCAGTATGTTACGTGAATACGACATAACGATGAAACAGACGGTTGTATTAAAATGACATAAGAAATATTACATACAACAATGACTAAGAATACGAATGTGAAATTCATCCAACCGTGACTTTTAATTTTTTTTTCCAAATCAATAACAAAATTTGATGACGCTAAACGTATTATTAAAAGCTATAATAATATAATCTAATATAATAATATAATATAATATAATATAATATAATATAATATAATATAATATAACATACTCTATAAATAATATACTCTTTTCGTAGATTATTATTAGACTATTTTCGTCTATGACGCTTCAGATCATCCTTATTCAACGAGATTTGATACGATTACATAGCTGATCTTCCTAGAGATGATTAGCGCGCGAACTCTCCAGAAGATATAGGTCACTGGCTATAAGATTGGCTGTTTTGTAGATAGAATCGTCTTAGAACAGGACCGTTTCAATAGCACGTGTCCTTGAACGATGGTAAAATTAGCGTTTCTATGTTACGGTTACGTTCATATCGTTCATAAAGTTAAACATATCTAAATGTGTGGACGACTTCAGATTTCGAGCTAGTTCCGCAACAGTTACCCGAAAGCTTTTCCAAAGAAAACTCGAACTAATATCGTTCTATTCATTAAGTATATATCGTTTCAAAATTATGTAGCAATTGTACGAAAAAAGGACGGGAAAAAAAGACGAAGAAAAATGAGATTATTTGACAGCAATCATCGCGTAGCATCGACGGTTCAAGGTCTTTTCATATGCTCGATTAACTCAGCATAATGTTGTTTGTCTTTATTTTTAGATATTACTACATCTTACATGCTTTAACACACACAAGTGCGAAGAATAATTTGCTTTTATGCCGATAATATTAGATGTGGGCGGTGAATTTGTGGGTTGTCCATCTATTGAATAATTGTGGCCTATATTCTTTCAAGAATATCTGATAATATGCAATTGCAAATGTGGGAAGATTTTACATCGTTGTAATCGTTTTTTTCATTTTACATCGTTTTCGTGTGAAAAATGAGTTACCACTCATACTGACTGTCTTTTATTTAACGATTCGACGATAGATAATTTTGGCAAATTACAGAAGTATGATGTACTTCATTGTTTTCTATCTTAAGCGACAGAGATTTGATCAATATACTTAGAGTAAACAGTTACAAGATTAAACAAACGGAGATAAGGAAGGAAAGAAGAAGAAGGAGAACTCGACGTGTTCTTTTCTTTGTTAAAAAAAATATGATAAAGAAAAATTAATCACTTGGAAAGTCCTTCGAACGTTACAATTCTGATCTCGCTTTTTCTGGCTTATTCCTAATGATTTTATTGGCAATGATATTATTTATTTCCTTTGCAGGCATAATCATGTCCATACATTTTATATTAGTGCATACGACTTTATTATGTTATCGTGACATCGTATTACTCATACGATATTTATAATCTATCATTTTTTATTCATTCTAACGTAGAACATTTTGACAAATATAGCGTAATCCATAATAAAGATGTTATTGTTCGTTTCTATAGGTGAAGATCCAATGCTCAGCGACCAACATCAATACCGTTACATGACTGTTGATGATATGAAATCTATGGGAGACGATTCCATGCGTGTCAATGTGACGGATGATGAGAGAGATAATCGACATGCTGGAGGTATGCTAAAAGATAATTTTCTTTTACCTTTTAAAGTCGTTCAACAACGAGAAATATTATTATCGCAAACAGCATTTCTATTTCCTCTTGTTTACATCTTTCTAGCTCCTACAATAACAGAAATGATCACCAAGGAAAATTGTCAACGTTCAAATGCCGCAATTCTCAAGCCGGACAATATAGATATCAATAGGCATCCAGTTCACGTTGGGTATGTATCGATTTATATTATTTCGTTATATACTTTATAATGAGAATTAGCTAATTTATTAAAATTAGTATGACAAATTTCAATAAGCTGTATTATTATTAGTAGTTACATATTATTCGATCATATAAAAAAAATAAATTTAAGTATTGATTATAACAAATAAGTTATGAAAGTATATATAGAAATAAAGACTTGAGAAGCGCGTGTGTATTTATAAAAACTTTGTACACACGGCGATTAAGTACCGTTGGCAAATTCTTGGGCGATAAAAATTAAAAATATTTATATCGATGCCAGAAACATGCATAAAATACTGCATCTCGTATATTAGCGTACTCTCGTGCCGTAATGGTATAGTGTTGATTATAAAGAAACAATAATGTTGTGTATTATAGTATGATACGGTGTGTGTTGATGAAAGTATCCTGCTCTAACTAATCCTCAAATTATTGGTTGCTATGTTATTTATCTTCTAGTTTACTTCTAATTTCTCTCTTAAGCTATAACTGGCGATATTATCGATGTTTATAGACATTTATTAGACACATGAAAGATCATGTTACGAAGTTAAACTAATCGTATCAGAATAAATTAATTGATTGATTAAATTAATTGATGAATATTTCGAAATTTAAGAAATATATAAGGAAAAAGAAAACAACGCGTATAATACGTTAAAAAGAAAATATTCATTATATCCTTGCATATATCATATCACTTCTTCTATGTATAAAACATCGCGATTCATCGATACTTTAACGCAATTCGTTAGTTAAATGAAAGCCAGTTGTTCCGTTTACACCTTTGCATTCATACGTGTTTTTATTTTGCCGCTTGTCTTGCCCGTAGCATTGTTAAACGATGTAGCAATTTAGCATGAAATATTCATAATTTTGTGATGAACGATTCTTTTCGATAACACGATAATAATTTCGTTTAGTATCGTATATATATCGTTTTAACTAATACGCACCGATTGAATCTCTAATATAGGTTTATGTCTGTGGAAGAACTTACGTCATATAATTCTATTTCCAAAATGTTGAGTTTGATTGTTTCGAGTATATTATGAAGCACAATTTTATGAGTTTCGAGAAAGACATTTGGCATTATTGCATCAATTACAAAAGGTTCTAAGAACAAAACGTGAACTGCACGATTACAAACAGAACATTAAGCATGTGCATGAAATAAAACAATTGTCGATAATCATACACGGTTTTCTTCCGAGATTAGTGCCTCTATAGAGTTCCTAATTACATCGCTGGCTGTTCTCGGTACTGTGTCAAAAGGACAAGGAATGTGGAGGGACAGGTATACCATTCCGTTTTTATTATATACAACTCACGTGCTTGATGTAATACACAATTTTTTCCTATTGTTTTCTGTCAGAGATTACACGTGCATATATCGTAAATATTTTAATAGCATTCTCTATGATAAAATATATAACATTTTTTTATACCTAACGTTAAATCAAGCACATATTTATATCGATTGAAATTATCAATGAAAATAGTACGCAATGTGTTTAAGTTAAATTAAGGTCATAGAGAATGTTTTCGTTTTAACGTCGGAAATGATATGAATAATAAAAAATGTATTTTTCACATAACCTTTTGCACATGGCAAATCATTTTTATCGCGATCGATTACATAAATTACTGTGGCTAAGTTATCTCTTGATTATTACAAAAAGAAGAATCGTTCATCCGTCGTGAATTCTAAAGAAAAGAAAAATAATGGAATATTAATCTTTAAAGCGGCTGTTGCTCGTGCAGATATATATTAGTAAAATTATTTTTTGTTCAGCTATGTTATGCGCATAAACGGGATCTGTCGTCTTTTATGCTGCTAATAATAATAATAATAATAGTAATAATGATAATGATAATGATGATGATGATGATGATGATGATGATGATGATGATGATGATGATGATGATGATGATGGTAGTGGTGATGATGATGATAATAAAATAGAAAAAAAATTTTCTATATACATTATTTAGGGATTAATAGAATTTCATTTTTGATAGAAAATGTTTATATATTCTTGTCGTAAATTTGGATATACTAATCACATAAAAATTTATATATTATAAATAATATATAAATGTAAATTTATATACGTATAAATTTGTGTGTATATATATATAAATATATATATATATATTACAATATATATATATATATACAAATATACATATATATACATATATATACATATATATACATATATATACATATATATACATATATATACATATATATACATATATATATATATATATATATATGTATTTTTATGAATGATTTCAATTAACAGCATATAAGGCAGATTTCGAAATCGTTCCTCTTACGTTGCAGTCCCAATGTATGTCTATTTTTCGCATAGTGTGAGTGATGTATTACTTCACGCGTCTCTACTATAATACATAATTATTATTGTTATTTCTCCCTTCCGCAATGTGTACAATATACAAATGGTTTGCGTGTGATTATTACGGGTTTTCGAAGTGATCAGCGATTATTAATTGAGAATATTTTAAGGAATACTTAAGTGATTCATTAACTATCCGCTGATATATTAAAACGTTCGAAAATCTGTAAAGTTGTGGCAGAATATAATAATCATGATCTCATCTCTCTCTTTCTCTCTTTCTCTATCTCTCTCTTTTTTTTTATTCATCGTCATATTTATAGAACGAATGAATACTAACGCGTTTTTTATTTTGTTTCCGATCCTCTGTTATTTTATTTGCGCTACTCGCAGAATCCCACAATGGAGAAAGTAAGTGATCTTCACTTGAATCTATTAGCTTCTGCTATTAGATGTTATACTCCTGAATTGTACTTTCATGCGTTCAACACTTTCATTCCTGCTGCACATTACCCCTGTAGTCGAAGATTTTTAATGACATTTTAGATAAACATAGTTCGTCTAGCAGCGAACACATACCAAAAGAGGAATTACGAAACGATGTCGATCGTTCGAGTAAAATACTTATTAAAAAAGTTTTATTAGAATTCTATTTTATCGATTTATGTATTCGCTGTAAAAACGTTGCCTACAGCTAACGTATATCATACAAATTCAATCAAATGATCTTTCTTCTCTGGTATTATTAGTCATTCGTATATAAAAATTGTTGGAATGAATTTTCAATTGATACTTTTTTATATTTTTAACAATTTACCTTATCAATGTTTTCATATAGTTCATTGGTGTGACATTTTGTTTAGCTTGCAGCTTCATTTGTTTAAAAAAAAAGCAAAAAAAAAAAAAATAAAAGTTATAGTGCTTAGCTTTTCGTATAGCTTATCCTTGTCGTTATTATTATATGTCTTATTTAATATTCACTTTATCGATCAGAATGAAACTCTTTCAAAGAAACATTCGTAAAAAGATCAATACATATGATAAATACGGAGATTCATTTAAATTTTGTCTGATTTGTTATTCGTATTAAATTCGAAAAGCACATACATATACATATTTATTATATCAAATCTTTACAATATTAAACATATCGCATTTCTAATCTATTCTCTTGAGATTGACTCGTTTTTGCTTTGCGTTTCATAATATTACTATATCACTCTGGCGATGCATATTAAATCTTTCACATTACTACACGCTTAGCGTACAATGCGATTTGGCTATGATATAATTAATTATAAGGTAACGAATATCGTATTGGAAAAAGAAATTAACCGATACTAATTAAATAAGTTTTATTATCAAGGTTTCCATGTCCAATGGAATTAAACTTGAAATTTAATGTTTCTTCAGGATAATAGGAACGAACGAAACATCGATTGTGGTTTCATATGTTTATCCAGAAAATTATTTATTTATTATTCTTATTAAAGATTTGTATATTATATCGATGTATAGTATTCTACGGCAAGTCGTTCAAAGAGAATTATCAATATGAGTTTTCTAAAATCAATCTACTACAATAGCTTCCTGGTTTCTTTCCTGGTCGACGCACGGGGTGGTGCGATGCGGGGATGTAGACACAGTGGAGTTCGGGTTATCGTGCCTCCTCGTAAAGCGGCGATGCCGATGCGAGTAACTTGCAGGTACCTAAGGAGAGATAAATTGACCAATCCGCCTCCTTTAATGGAAGGCGAGGCTTTAGCTAGTCGTATTTTGGAACTTGGACCAGTCGGTGCTAAATTTTTAGGGTACGTTATAAAACAAAATTAACATTGTATCTCCATCATATCTATTATATTTTTAGTTCGATACAAATTTTAATGTATCATCCATTTATTTTTTTAAATCCAGACCCGTTATCATAGAGGTGCCACATTTTGCATCATTAAGAGGAAAGGAACGAGAAATAGTTATCTTACGTTCCGATAATGGAGAAACTTGGCGCGAACATACCCTAGAGGCTAGCGAGGAAGCTGTACAGGATGTTCTTAATGAGAGCTTTGAAGGAGAAGGTATATTTCTCTTTTAGGCTTGGTTCTTCATTGATTGTTTTAATATCTTTTCCTTTATATTCTACCTTTTCTCAGAATTAAGCCAGCTAGAAGATCTCCAAACGTCACGCATCGTAAGGATACTTACCGCAGATTTTCCACATTATTTCGCGGTTGTCTCTCGCATAAGGCAAGAAGTACATGCAGTTGGACCGGAAGGTGGTACTGTATCTTCATCAGCCGTTCCTCAGGTTCAAGCTGTCTTTCCACCTGCAGCTTTGACCAAAAAGATTAGAGTTGGCTTACAGGTAAGATTTCAAATATTATTTGGAAAATTGTTTTCGCCATTATGAAGTTGATTTGCAATGTAGTAGTCGTTATACTTAAAGAAATCGCATTAATTAAAAAAATGATACATCGACGTAGAAAATAATGAATATTCCTTATTTAAGTGACGACGTATTGACATTTGAATTTATGTTTAGGCCCATCCTATACCAGCTGAATTAGTAGCAAAACTACTAGGTAATCGAGTCGCAGTATCGCCCATAGTTACGGTAGAACCACGACGGCGAAAGTTCCATAAGCCCATAACTTTGACTATACCGGTACCACAAGCAGCTAATAAAGGCATGATTAACCAGTACTCGGGGGATGCACCGACTTTAAGGCTCCTGTGCAGCATAACTGGTAATATATGCTTGCACGTAATATTGTAGAGCAGCGTACCGTCTTACTGGAAAATCTCTTACCGATAAATTGCTGAAAATCGTTATGTCGCAATCAATTTGGGTGTCATAAATATATATCTTGTCAGATTTTTTAAGCATTCGAGTAATCGACTTGTAGTTTAGTTAGGCATGATGATAACGTCGGTAGGCAATCTCGTCTGTTCTCAGGTCGTCGGGACTGCGCGGCATGCTGTCGGTTTTTTATTTTATATCATACACATATGTAATAACATTTGCGATATTTGAGTGTTATATTCTACGATAGTCTATTATGTATTTTTAGTAACACATATAAAACTACTTATGTCGTTTTCATATTTGCGATCACAATATATTTTATTTCTTTCTTTTTTCTTTTTCTTTACCAAGTAATTTATAATTTATCTGTAGCTGATAAACACTGACTGCGGTTCACCCTTTGGTATCGGGCGAGATAATTGTTTTTTCAAATATTATATTATTATTTATATAAAGTATTTCAATTAGATAAACAAATAACTCAGGATATAAACTTTTTAAATATTGAGTACACTTAATGAAGGGAAACGCATAGTATGTATAAAAATCTCGTTAATTTGTGAAATGTGAAACGTACGATATAATAGACGATACGATTATTTACTTTTACAGTTAGTTCATAATAGCTTGCAAAAATTAGTTTTTTTTTTTTAATAGTTGCATAAATCAGACACGTAAACGATTTTTCTCTTTTTAAAAAAAGGAATATCGATACTGAAGGGTCGAGGAAGATCTCGTCTATCGAGTAAGTGTCAGCCAAGTGAATTATTTTCAACTGTAATTTATAATCTTCTTATTGAAAGTGTATGCATCGTTTAAAGTTTTCTCGTTACCAGTGGCAGTATCCCGAAGACCTTCGGATAGAGATTTAAAAGGGAGATGGTAGCTGCATGTTCCATAGAAACATTTCGTTGAGTACCATTGTTGTATACATATCTTGTTGTGATTCATTGTTAATGCTTGCATATTGTTAGGATTGAGTCATTTAGGTATGGATTATTAATTAAAGTAGATCAAAGTCTTATTACTTAGCTCATCGTAAGCGTTAACTTAAAAGTTTTTGTTTCAGCACATTCAATTGAATGGTAATTGCTTTAATATATCAAGCTTTTATTCAAACTCAATTTCTCTAATTGACATTGTGCTTATTGTAAAATATACGTATCTGTTTGAAATCGTGGAAGTGCATTCAACGTTAGAGTATATTCTAACAATGAGGAAATGTTGCAAAAAATTGCATTTCTTTTACATTAAATTATTACATGCGCACAACCACACTTTTTCGCTTATATTTTCATCTGAAGCTTCGTAGCTGTTTAACAAATATCACATATTCAATCACATTTTTCGTTATTAAAATATTATTTGATGGAATATATCACACTATATTTTTCAATTATTTCAATAAATTCGCTAATATTTGTGCGATGTCTTTTAAATATACATCTTTGAAGTAGGAATACACTCGTGTTGCTTTTTATAGGTATTTATTATAAATATTACCTTTTCTCACTTGGTGCGTATAAAAATATGCAAATAATGAAGCTTTTTTTTTATTATATACGTCTTGTGTACATAATAATCCATAGCACGTAACGTTAGCACATTTATAGAGACCGATATTAAATACAAAATGTTTATAAGTTCCTACAAACAGCACATACGTACATATATTGTTCTATATGTATTTTCAGGTTTTAATAAATTTGTATTTTTTACACAATTTGTAAATGTGTGTTTGTGTGTATGTGTATATATATACACACACAAGCATATCTATACCTATAATATATAAATGTATTTTTATCATATTTTGTATATCAAGAAAAGTGACACTTCTGAAGATCATTGTTCATATTTATTATAAAACGAAAATAACTACGTCAAGCATCCTTCTGTCCTTTTTATCTGCTAATGAAATCAACATATTTGCACTCATAATCATTAAAAACAATTTCAATATTATAAAAATTACTTTATTCTTTTCACATTTATTCGAGACTGTAATTAATTTTGGTCGCATCGGATAAAAACACACGTTTCACTACTGTTATTGAGCATTTCTAGCACGGACATATTTTAATAATGTTATTGGATTTGACGTGTATGTCGTTCAGGGGGTCAGTCTCGGGCAGTCTGGGAGGATGTCACAGGTTCTACACCATTAACTTTCGTCAAGGATTGTGTCTCTTTCACTACCACGGTATCTGCTCGTTTTTGGCTAATGGACTGTCGAAATATTTCGGAAGCGACAAAAATGGCAACAGAATTATATACCCACGCTACCCATGTACCATTTATGGCTAAGTACGTTTGATATTTATATTGAATCAAAACAACAACTATTAACAAAATAATTATATTTATTTCGACGAATGTATTTTTCAATTTTAACACATTACTCGATATTATTTATAGATTTGTAGTCTTTGCGAAACGTATAGATCCTTTGGAGGCCAGGATACGTGTATTTTGTATGACTGATGATAAAGAGGATAAAACTCTTGAACATCAAGAGCATTTTACAGAAGTTGCGAAGAGTAGAGATGTTGAAGTAAGTGCGTTAAACTTTTCATTATGATAAGAAATAAAATTTAATCTTTTTTTTTTGTACGTTTGCAGGTGTTAGAAGGTAAAACTCAATACATGGAATTTACGGGTAATCTTGTACCAGTATTAAAAAGCGGCGAACAGCTTCAATTACCATTCAGAGCGTTTAAAGAAAATAGAGTACCGTTTACTGCGCGGATAAAAGATCCAGATGCAGCAGATATGATGGGTCGAATAATGTTTATGAGTGAACCTAAGGTTCCTAAAGGCGAGGTGCCACAAACACCGATATGTACATTGAATATTTTGTTACCTGAAAAGATTTCTCCTGAGCCTGCTGTTTCAGAATTGGATTTACTTGAATTATCAAAAAATTACAGTTTTCTACGCGATGGTGGAATCAGTATGTAACAATGATTTATTATTTTATTTTTATAATTGTAATTAGGACTATTTTTTTTTGTTATCAGTTACGTATTCAGTAAAGATTTCTTATTCTCTTTATTTTTAGGTCGACCAGATGCTATACATAGAGCAACTATACGTTTAAGGGATATAGCGAATTTACTAGGCAAGGACTGGGAAAAATTAGCAGAAGAACTTAACATTGCTTCCAACGATGTCTCTTTGATAAAACAGGAATATCCTGATAAACCAGCTCAACAAGCGGCAGCAATGTTCAAAGTCTGGCAAAGTAATGGAAATAAAGCAACGGGTAAGTTCAAATACACTTAAATATTATTGTAATTTCTAATATACATCGTAGAGTTATATAAATAGGCGTAAAATGAATTAAATCTAAATTAGTAAGATGCATCATAATTATACCATAATCGTTGAAGCGCGATCATCACGCAAGGTCAAAAAATAAGATTTGCTCACTGCGATTGACTCAGACGTGTGGAATCTCAATCGTAACGTTGTTGATGATCTCATACTACATTATTATGCCTGACATAACTCACAACTCTCTCTCTCTCTCCCTCTCTCTCCCTCTCTCTCTCTTCCTCTTTCTCCTTCTTCTTTCTTTCCCGCTATAATGATTCCATCTTATTCTGACAAAGTACGCAAAACGTCTCTGCAATCAGTGGAACGACAAACAGTCGCGTAGTTTAAAGAACACGAAGAGGATACGGTCAAATTTATTGCTCAAAGTTTATTGCTCATTACTTGTTAGTTCTTCATTTAAGAATTTATATTAATTACTTAGTAATAATTTTATCTGTTTTTGATATTAATATCAGTGACATTCTGAAAAAATAGTAGTGATTTTAAAAAAATAATTTGTATACAGTGCATGTTATTGTAAATTAGAAACTAAGATGTACATAACTTTATATCAAGAGTACAAAAATCCAACAACAAATTTATATACTAGCGAACTTTTGTTAATATTTCATAAAACATCTTCGATATGTCTTCACACTTCCAAAGTTTCAGGTATGTTTTATTAGATGTGCGTTGCTTAGAAAAAAATTTTTAAATATAAATATTTATTTATGTTTTGTGCGTTACTTATAGAGAAAAATTTCTGAGTATAAATATTTATTTTTAATGTGTTGGTTAGAAAACATTTTTGAATATGTATATATATTATTTATTTAATGGAAATTTTTCGTATTATTACATTGCTATGAATACTTATTACGTAGTTGTACTTTAAGCATATTATATATAAATGCATACATACATATAATACAATATAAATATAATTCTTTTTATAGGTAATACCTTAGAAAAGGCGCTCAATAAAATTGGCCGAGAAGATATTGTAAACAAATGTATATTTAACGTAGAACTTGTCACTGATGATGTCGAAAAAGCAGTTGCAAGAGTTCAGTTAGATCAACCAGGTTTTGACTCCTTGAAAGAGGAGTTAGGACCTTCAAGGGACACATCTCTTCGACGCGATGCAACTATGGATCCAAAAATGGACCCTGATTATGAAGAACCAGATAGAATGAAGGTATGCGGTATTATCGATAAATCCTGTGATACCATTGCGAAGTATCAGACATTATAATGAAATATTAATCAATCCTAGGAATCTGAATCCATAGAAGAGCTTAGTAACATCAGTCGTTTGCAGGATAAACGATGTAAGTAGAAGATTGTGAATAATGATAGCAACAGTGTGTGAAAAAAGTAATAACGATATTTATAATTTAATTTTATTACAATATATGATCATAAATTTTTTATCTCTCTTAATTGAAATATTACTATAAATTTTTTTTAAATTATTACTTAATAAAAATAATAAGCAGTAGAAAGAAAATATCTTAAGTTTTTAAAGTGATATAAATAATAGTGATTAACAAACAATATATGCACGCTAAGTAATTACTCAATCATGATTTTGTGTTATCTTCCATTTTTTAAATACATCACTTAGCAGATGAATCACGTCATAATTTAACATATTTTAACACGTTATATTTTGGGCTCTTCGTTCACAACACGTTTCTTGCACTTAACAGCTAAGCAGCATGTCACAATCGCAAATGGCACTGTATTCAACGGAACCTCGACCCCTGTCAAAGATAAATATGCAAGTGATGAGAAAGAATTGGGAGATATGATGGCTGATTTCATTGAACATAAATGTCACGTTACCGACACGATGAGCAAAAAGTCACGCGACGAGCTTGATGACGAAGAAAAAAAGCGGCAAAGAGTGATTGCTGACGCTAATAAAATTGTTTCTGGTAAGTGATTTAGTGTATTTCTTCTAAACTGGTGGGTTGAGGGGCCGTGCTTTATCTGCAAAAAGGATACTATTATTAAAAGGAAACGAAAAGCTATTGATGAGCAGCTACTTATTTTATTCGAACTTTCGCAGCATGTTCAGCCAAATACGGTAACGCACGCTTGATTTTAAAGTACAATTAAAACAGATTATTAATTTAATTATTAATAAAATTCTGTGAAACTTATACAGATTGCGAAATTTTCTGGTATAATAAAAATTGTTAACTATATATATACATATATATATATTTAAAAATAATTCAATCATTGAACAATTAATATTAATTTTTAGTAATAAATAATTTAATGGACATACTCCGTATCGACACTTTTAACGCACTGAATAGCATGTTATCATTTAATTATTTACTGTGTAATAGGAAAAACATATTTTTAATTTTCTGTGTATATAATTTTTAATTTCTGTGTATATAAGGTGTCATCTCATAACAAATTATGTTTTTATATTGTCTGATCGTAGTAGACTTTTCTAAATGAGCTTTTTTTTTCTCCTAAATTAAAGTTCTTCGTATAACAATTTAGAAGAGCAATAAATTTGAGTATTATCTTATTATTCGAATAATTAATTTATATTTAATATGTGTAAACGCGCCGATACATTTGCGTGCTAATGCACTAGAACGGTTATCATCTTGTCTTTTAATTTTACTCACAGGTTCCGGACGCCGCTGTGGATATCTTCATATTTCAGCTTGCTTATCTTTTTTAATAAGTAATGATTTATTTAATTTGCCTCTCGATCGACATTTCATATATGTATATATCGTATATGACTATACGATTTCTAACATAATTCATTTAATCATTTCGCTAATACATTTTCTAGTCTTCAACACATTCCTAGCAATTTGTTTCAGCAAGATTATGCTACAATTATTTGGCGATGCATGAACAGTCAAATGTGTGTGGTCTTACTGTGTGGACGCACGGAGCAGCCGTCTTTATAGATTGTAATAATAAATAGATACACATGCTTATTAATGAAATAAAAGAAATAGAAATCAAATAGATAGTTTTATCAAAGTTTATAGTAATAAATAATTATTCAAGAAACGAAAAATCCCGAGTTTTATGTATTTGTATTTAATATTGTTCATTTAAATATTTATTCCCTTCAGTGTAAAGGAATATTCAAATATTTTTCAGAAAATAGAAATACTTCCTACATAGAAAATGATGGATAATTAATAATGAATTATTTATATATATTTTATCGTCATTCATTGAGAAATAGCTTATGTAATTTTATTAATTGAAGGATAGTTGCTCCACTGCACATACACTCTACGCACAATCCACGCGGCAATCTAACCTCTGCTCCAATCAAAGAAAAATGATGAACGAGTCGGCTTACACTAATGATGATGCAATATGAACGAATAAAATGTGTTTCTTTATATATGTTACGTTTACAGATGCCTAAAATATATAATACTTAATTAACAGGTGTAATAGCAGAGGCAGAGAAAGAAAAGGAGAAGTTAGCGAAGGAAGGGTGGTCGGTGTTTTATGATGATATGCGGGACAGTGAGAAGGTGAGAGGTGCTGTAGGGCAAACTTCATTTGATAAAGAGATAGTTAGAAGTTCAGATCAATTCAGGGATGCGGAATTAGGTATAATTCTACAACCAAAAGTTAGAGATGATGTAGAACCTCTTATAATTAAACAAGAACGAGCATATGGTAGGAAAAAGGATTCAAAAAAACAAATTTCTTTCCCAAAACAAGCAGGAATTTTAAAGAAGGATTTAATAGTAGAAAAACCAGTTGTTAGAGAGATTACGATTATAAAAGATATTAAACCCACAGTAGTTATAACATCCACAGAGTCTTCTACTTTACCTCATGCTAAAGTAGAAGTTAGTGAAAAAGAGAAGATGTATAAAGAAGGTAAAGAAGTAGATGAGAAGTTGTTACAAGATGATGGACCATGTCAATCTATAAAAGATACTGATAAAAAGATTAAAATGACAGAAATAAAAACGAATATTGGAACGGATGTTCCAACGAAAAGCGAAGTAGAACAAGATGTAACATCTATTATCGATAAGCGTCTTTCTGCGTATAAAGATGTATATGATGCTCAAAATCCCGCAAAGAATCTTGACGAAGAAACAACTGATACATCAAAAAAGGTAAAAGATAAAAGCAGTGGTATATTTTCAAGTATTTTTAAAGGCCCTAAATTAAAGAAGGATAAATCTAAAGATTCAAAAGAGACATCTTTCGATAGTGGAGATGAAGAGAGTAAAACTCCTTCGCTTTCCGATATAGTATCAAAACCTATAAGTATATCTCATGATAAAGATCCTTCATTACAAAAAGATTCAGAAACTGGTCTATCTGATATTAAACTTACAACTATAAATTTATTGGAGGATGCTAAGAATACTGCTGCTCTCTTACATGCACCAACAGAATCTAATGAAATAAATGGATCAGTAACAATTTCTGTAGAAGATAAAAAGGATAGATCATCGACCGAAGCTCATACTAAGCCTCAAATAGTATCAGAAGTAAAAGAAAAAATTACGATCGTAGGAATTAAAAAAGAACATATTAATGGAACAACAACGATCAAACCAAACCAGACAATAGATTCTCTTGATGGTACAGACAAAAATATAGAGCAACAAGATAATCAGAAACTTGAAATAATGTCAAAGAGTAGTCCAACTAAACAAGACAATGTTCAAAAATCTGACTTAAAAGAATCATTAAAGAAAGAAGATAAAGATGATAGTGATACAGGTACACCTGGTAAAGAACGTGGTGGTTTATTCGGAATATTTAAAAGTCCAAAATCGAAAGAAAAAAAAACGAGTAAAATAAAAGATTCATATTTAGATTATAGCGATGAAGAACTTAAATCTACCACAGAAAAATTCCTTGAAGAAACACGTAAAGTTGCCAACGAAGATGTAATTCATGTAGGTTACAAGACAGAGGATACAAAATCTCTTGCTACAAGTCCAGTAACTACGTTTAGTGCTGCTACTTACGATAGCTCTGATGTACCAATAGATAAAGTTAGTAAGCATTCATATGATGTAACGGATAAATATAAATTGGAATCAACTCCACTAGCGGATAAGAAATCTGATAAAGACACTACAGAAGAGAGTAAGGAGAAGGGTAACTTCTTTGGGATATTCAAAAGTCCTAAACTAAAATCTAAGAAAGGGACAAGAGATCGTAGTACTTCGAAGGAGAGATCATTTGATAGCGCAGATGAAGATTCCTATAATGCAGATGTAAAATATACTGAACATTCAAGTAAATCATCGATTCAAAAAGAAGAAGAAAACCAGGAATCAGGATCAGGAGATGAAGGGATTAAAGAAAAAAGCGGTGGACTTTTCGGAATGTTTAGAAGTCCCAGATTGCAACGTAGTTCTCGAAGTAAATCTAAAGAAAAAAGTTTACCTCCTGAAATACCACAAAATAATTTTAAAGAAACAACAGCCGCATTCCTAGAGGATACGCGCAATACTGCCGAATTGATCAGCAGTTATCAACAATCACCTATAATTTCACCACGAACTCAAGAAAATGCGTTTAAAGAAAAAACTCCACCTACAAAAAAAGCATCTATTGATAAAACTGATACTGCATCTCAAAGAGTTGTAAACGGTGTAAAAGATATGAAAGATGCTGTAGCAAAAGAACTGAAAGAAGATATTAAAACTGTAAAAACAGCACTCACTGTTGATAATGGTACTGTTGTGGATGTTGCCCAATCTGCAAAAGATAAAGCTGTGAAAGAAACTAAAAAAGCAAAGGACAAAACATCTGGATTTTTCTCAGGTATATTCAAGGGAACTAAACATACAGCTGAAGACATTTGCGATGATGTTAAAGATTTTGTAGTAGAATCAAAAACTGAAGCTGCCAAAGAAGAATCTCATGCAAAAGAAGCAGCTTCACAAACTGTAAAAGCTACTAATGACGCAAAAAATAAACTTACTACTAGTGTTAAGGATATGAAAGATAAGACAGTAGCAGAAATGCAAGATACTAAGGAGAAAATAGCTGCTAATATTAAAGATGGAAAAGATAAAACAGTAACTATAACGCAGGATATGAAGGAGAAAATAGTAACTGTTGCTAAAGATACAAAGGACAAAGTAGTAATTGGAGCACAGGATATCACTGAGAAAACAGTAGCTGGTGTAAAAAATGCAAAAGACAAAACAGTAGAAAAAGCCGAGGATCATACAAATAAAGCAGTAGCTGGTGTAAAAGATATCAAAGATAAAACTGTTTCAGCGGTTACAGACGTAAACGAGAAAATTATGCTTCATAGCAAAATAGCTGTTGATAAAACAGAAACAATAGCTCACGGAGTTGCAGATAATGTGAAAGATGCAAAAGATACTATAGGAAGAGAATTAAAAGAAGATGCTGAAGTTGTAAAGGGGGCACTTACGGCAGGTACTACTACTGTTATAGATGATGTCCAATCAGTAAAAGATAAAACTGCAAAAGAAACTAAAAAAACTAAAGATAAAACAACGGGATTTTTCTCAGGCATATTTAAAGGAGCTAAGCATGCGGTAGAAGATATTTCTGATGAAGTTAAAGGGTTCTTAGAAGAAACTAAAGTCGAAATTGAAGAAGAAGAGGCACGTGTTAAAGAAACTGCTTCACGAGCTGCTAAATCTGTTGATGATGTAAAGAATAAGACTATTCTTAAAGTTAAAGATTTAAAAGATAAAACAGCAATAGAAGCGCAAGAAGCTAAGGAGAAAACTGTCGCTGATGTTAAAAATTCACAAGACAAAGTAATATGTGGAGCAAAAGACATTGCAGATAAAGCATTGACTGATGTAAAAGATGTTAAAGAGAAAACAATGGAAGGGACAGAAGATATCATAGACAAAGCAATAATCATAGTAAAAGATACCAAAGATAAAACTGATACAGCAACGATAAAGATAGAAGAAAAAATTTTAGAAGACGGGAAAAAATCTGTTGATATAGTAGAAACTGTAGCACATGGAGTTGTGGAGAAAGCGAAACATACGAAGGATGATGTAACAGGGGAACTGAAAGAAGATGCCGCACTTGTAAAGGATACGCTTTCCACTAGTGTTGATGCTGTTGCAGATAGTATGCAGTCAACGAAAGATAAAGCTGACAAGGAAACTAAAAAAGCTAAAGACAAAACATCTGGATTTTTCACTGGTATTTTTAAGGGTGCTAAGCAAACAGTTGACGATGCTTCTGAAGATGTAAAAGAATTCTTGGAGAAAACAAAAACCGAAGCTGCTGAAGAAAAAGCACGTGCAAAGGAAGTTGCTTCAAGAGCTACTAAATCTGCGGATGATGCAAAAGATAAGACAATTGCTGGAATTAAAGAGCTGAAAGATAAAACAGTAGCAGGAGCAGCAGATGTAAAAGACAAAACATTAGCTGGCATGAAAGATGCAAAACATAAAACTGTTGTTGCAACGGAAGATATCAAAGAGAAAGTAGGATTTGGCTTAAAAGATGCTAAAGATAAAGTAGTAAGTGAAGCACATGATATTACACATAAGGCAGTAATTGGTGTAAAAGATGCAAAAGAAAAAACAGTGGAAGGAGTAGAACATGTCACGAAAAAAACATTAGCTGACGTAAAGGACGTCAAAGATAAAGCAGTTGATATAGGAGCAGCGGCAGGCGACAAAATGATTTCCGGTGGAAAAAAATCTGTTGATATAGTAGAAACTGTAGCACATGGAGTTGTGGAGAAAGCGAAACATACGAAGGATGATGTAACAGGGGAACTGAAAGAAGATGCCGCACTTGTAAAGGATACGCTTTCCACTAGTGTTGATGCTGTTGCAGATAGTATGCAGTCAACGAAAGATAAAGCTGGCAAAGAAACTAAAAAGGCTAAAGACAAAACATCTGGATTTTTCACTGGTATTTTTAAGGGTGCTAAGCAAACAGTTGACGATGCTTCTGAAGATGTAAAAGAATTCTTGGAGAAAACAAAAACCGAAGCTGCTGAAGAAAAAGCACGTGCAAAGGAAGTTGCTTCAAGAGCTACTAAATCTGCGGATGATGCAAAAGATAAGACAATTGCTGGAATTAAAGAGCTGAAAGATAAAACAGTAGCAGGAGCAGCAGATGTAAAAGACAAAACATTAGCTGGCATGAAAGATGCAAAACATAAAACTGTTGTTGCAACGGAAGATATCAAAGAGAAAGTAGGATTTGGCTTAAAAGATGCTAAAGATAAAGTAGTAAGTGAAGCACATGATATTACACATAAGGCAGTAATTGGTGTAAAAGATGCAAAAGAAAAAACAGTGGAAGGAGTAGAACATGTCACGAAAAAAACATTAGCTGACGTAAAGGACGTCAAAGATAAAGCAGTTGATATAGGAGCAGCGGCAGGCGACAAAATGATTTCCGGTGGAAAAAAATCTGTTGATATAGTAGAAACTGTAGCACATGGAGTTGTGGAGAAAGCGAAACATACGAAGGATGATGTAACAGGGGAACTGAAAGAAGATGCCGCACTTGTAAAGGATACGCTTTCCACTAGTGTTGATGCTGTTGCAGATAGTATGCAGTCAACGAAAGATAAAGCTGGCAAAGAAACTAAAAAGGCTAAAGACAAAACATCTGGATTTTTCACTGGTATTTTTAAGGGTGCTAAGCAAACAGTTGACGATGCTTCTGAAGATGTAAAAGAATTCTTGGAGAAAACAAAAACCGAAGCTGCTGAAGAAAAAGCACGTGCAAAGGAAGTTGCTTCAAGAGCTACTAAATCTGCGGATGATGCAAAAGATAAGACAATTGCTGGAATTAAAGAGCTGAAAGATAAAACAGTAGCAGGAGCAGCAGATGTAAAAGACAAAACATTAGCTGGCATGAAAGATGCAAAACATAAAACTGTTGTTGCAACGGAAGATATCAAAGAGAAAGTAGGATTTGGCTTAAAAGATGCTAAAGATAAAGTAGTAAGTGAAGCACATGATATTACACATAAGGCAGTAATTGGTGTAAAAGATGCAAAAGAAAAAACAGTGGAAGGAGTAGAACATGTCACGAAAAAAACATTAGCTGACGTAAAGGACGTCAAAGATAAAGCAGTTGATATAGGAGCAGCGGCAGGCGACAAAATGATTTCCGGTGGAAAAAAATCTGTTGATATAGTAGAAACTGTAGCACATGGAGTTGTGGAGAAAGCGAAACATACGAAGGATGATGTAACAGGGGAACTGAAAGAAGATGCCGCACTTGTAAAGGATACGCTTTCCACTAGTGTTGATGCTGTTGCAGATAGTATGCGGTCAACGAAAGATAAAGCTGACAAGGAAACTAAAAAAGCTAAAGACAAAACATCTGGATTTTTCACTGGTATTTTTAAGGGTGCTAAGCAAACAGTTGACGATGCTTCTGAAGATGTAAAAGAATTCTTGGAGAAAACAAAAACCGAAGCTGCTGAAGAAAAAGCACGTGCAAAGGAAGTTGCTTCAAGAGCTACTAAATCTGCGGATGATGCAAAAGATAAGACAATTGCTGGAATTAAAGAGCTGAAAGATAAAACAGTAGCAGGAGCAGCAGATGTAAAAGACAAAACATTAGCTGGCATGAAAGATGCAAAACATAAAACTGTTGTTGCAACGGAAGATATCAAAGAGAAAGTAGGATTTGGCTTAAAAGATGCTAAAGATAAAGTAGTAAGTGAAGCACATGATATTACACATAAGGCAGTAATTGGTGTAAAAGATGCAAAAGAAAAAACAGTGGAAGGAGTAGAACATGTCACGAAAAAAACATTAGCTGACGTAAAGGACGTCAAAGATAAAGCAGTTGATATAGGAGCAGCGGCAGGCGACAAAATGATTTCCGGTGGAAAAAAATCTGTTGATATAGTAGAAACTGTAGCACATGGAGTTGTGGAGAAAGCGAAACATACGAAGGATGATGTAACAGGGGAACTGAAAGAAGATGCCGCACTTGTAAAGGATACGCTTTCCACTAGTGTTGATGCTGTTGCAGATAGTATGCAGTCAACGAAAGATAAAGCTGACAAGGAAACTAAAAAAGCTAAAGACAAAACATCTGGATTTTTCACTGGTATTTTTAAGGGTGCTAAGCAAACAGTTGACGATGCTTCTGAAGATGTAAAAGAATTCTTGGAGAAAACAAAAACCGAAGCTGCTGAAGAAAAAGCACGTGCAAAGGAAGTTGCTTCAAGAGCTACTAAATCTGCGGATGATGCAAAAGATAAGACAATTGCTGGAATTAAAGAGCTGAAAGATAAAACAGTAGCAGGAGCAGCAGATGTAAAAGACAAAACATTAGCTGGCATGAAAGATGCAAAACATAAAACTGTTGTTGCAACGGAAGATATCAAAGAGAAAGTAGGATTTGGCTTAAAAGATGCTAAAGATAAAGTAGTAAGTGAAGCACATGATATTACACATAAGGCAGTAATTGGTGTAAAAGATGCAAAAGAAAAAACAGTGGAAGGAGTAGAACATGTCACGAAAAAAACATTAGCTGACGTAAAGGACGTCAAAGATAAAGCAGTTGATATAGGAGCAGCGGCAGGCGACAAAATGATTTCCGGTGGAAAAAAATCTGTTGATATAGTAGAAACTGTAGCACATGGAGTTGTGGAGAAAGCGAAACATACGAAGGATGATGTAACAGGGGAACTGAAAGAAGATGCCGCACTTGTAAAGGATACGCTTTCCACTAGTGTTGATGCTGTTGCAGATAGTATGCAGTCAACGAAAGATAAAGCTGGCAAAGAAACTAAAAAGGCTAAAGACAAAACATCTGGATTTTTCACTGGTATTTTTAAGGGTGCTAAGCAAACAGTTGACGATGCTTCTGAAGATGTAAAAGAATTCTTGGAGAAAACAAAAACCGAAGCTGCTGAAGAAAAAGCACGTGCAAAGGAAGTTGCTTCAAGAGCTACTAAATCTGCGGATGATGCAAAAGATAAGACAATTGCTGGAATTAAAGAGCTGAAAGATAAAACAGTAGCAGGAGCAGCAGATGTAAAAGACAAAACATTAGCTGGCATGAAAGATGCAAAACATAAAACTGTTGTTGCAACGGAAGATATCAAAGAGAAAGTAGGATTTGGCTTAAAAGATGCTAAAGATAAAGTAGTAAGTGAAGCACATGATATTACACATAAGGCAGTAATTGGTGTAAAAGATGCAAAAGAAAAAACAGTGGAAGGAGTAGAACATGTCACGAAAAAAACATTAGCTGACGTAAAGGACGTCAAAGATAAAGCAGTTGATATAGGAGCAGCGGCAGGCGACAAAATGATTTCCGGTGGAAAAAAATCTGTTGATATAGTAGAAACTGTAGCACATGGAGTTGTGGAGAAAGCGAAACATACGAAGGATGATGTAACAGGGGAACTGAAAGAAGATGCCGCACTTGTAAAGGATACGCTTTCCACTAGTGTTGATGCTGTTGCAGATAGTATGCGGTCAACGAAAGATAAAGCTGACAAGGAAACTAAAAAAGCTAAAGACAAAACATCTGGATTTTTCACTGGTATTTTTAAGGGTGCTAAGCAAACAGTTGACGATGCTTCTGAAGATGTAAAAGAATTCTTGGAGAAAACAAAAACCGAAGCTGCTGAAGAAAAAGCACGTGCAAAGGAAGTTGCTTCAAGAGCTACTAAATCTGCGGATGATGCAAAAGATAAGACAATTGCTGGAATTAAAGAGCTGAAAGATAAAACAGTAGCAGGAGCAGCAGATGTAAAAGACAAAACATTAGCTGGCATGAAAGATGCAAAACATAAAACTGTTGTTGCAACGGAAGATATCAAAGAGAAAGTAGGATTTGGCTTAAAAGATGCTAAAGATAAAGTAGTAAGTGAAGCACATGATATTACACATAAGGCAGTAATTGGTGTAAAAGATGCAAAAGAAAAAACAGTGGAAGGAGTAGAACATGTCACGAAAAAAACATTAGCTGACGTAAAGGACGTCAAAGATAAAGCAGTTGATATAGGAGCAGCGGCAGGCGACAAAATGATTTCCGGTGGAAAAAAATCTGTTGATATAGTAGAAACTGTAGCACATGGAGTTGTGGAGAAAGCGAAACATACGAAGGATGATGTAACAGGGGAACTGAAAGAAGATGCCGCACTTGTAAAGGATACGCTTTCCACTAGTGTTGATGCTGTTGCAGATAGTATGCAGTCAACGAAAGATAAAGCTGACAAGGAAACTAAAAAAGCTAAAGACAAAACATCTGGATTTTTCACTGGTATTTTTAAGGGTGCTAAGCAAACAGTTGACGATGCTTCTGAAGATGTAAAAGAATTCTTGGAGAAAACAAAAACCGAAGCTGCTGAAGAAAAAGCACGTGCAAAGGAAGTTGCTTCAAGAGCTACTAAATCTGCGGATGATGCAAAAGATAAGACAATTGCTGGAATTAAAGAGCTGAAAGATAAAACAGTAGCAGGAGCAGCAGATGTAAAAGACAAAACATTAGCTGGCATGAAAGATGCAAAACATAAAACTGTTGTTGCAACGGAAGATATCAAAGAGAAAGTAGGATTTGGCTTAAAAGATGCTAAAGATAAAGTAGTAAGTGAAGCACATGATATTACACATAAGGCAGTAATTGGTGTAAAAGATGCAAAAGAAAAAACAGTGGAAGGAGTAGAACATGTCACGAAAAAAACATTAGCTGACGTAAAGGACGTCAAAGATAAAGCAGTTGATATAGGAGCAGCGGCAGGCGACAAAATGATTTCCGGTGGAAAAAAATCTGTTGATATAGTAGAAACTGTAGCACATGGAGTTGTGGAGAAAGCGAAACATACGAAGGATGATGTAACAGGGGAACTGAAAGAAGATGCCGCACTTGTAAAGGATACGCTTTCCACTAGTGTTGATGCTGTTGCAGATAGTATGCAGTCAACGAAAGATAAAGCTGGCAAAGAAACTAAAAAGGCTAAAGACAAAACATCTGGATTTTTCACTGGTATTTTTAAGGGTGCTAAGCAAACAGTTGACGATGCTTCTGAAGATGTAAAAGAATTCTTGGAGAAAACAAAAACCGAAGCTGCTGAAGAAAAAGCACGTGCAAAGGAAGTTGCTTCAAGAGCTACTAAATCTGCGGATGATGCAAAAGATAAGACAATTGCTGGAATTAAAGAGCTGAAAGATAAAACAGTAGCAGGAGCAGCAGATGTAAAAGACAAAACATTAGCTGGCATGAAAGATGCAAAACATAAAACTGTTGTTGCAACGGAAGATATCAAAGAGAAAGTAGGATTTGGCTTAAAAGATGCTAAAGATAAAGTAGTAAGTGAAGCACATGATATTACACATAAGGCAGTAATTGGTGTAAAAGATGCAAAAGAAAAAACAGTGGAAGGAGTAGAACATGTCACGAAAAAAACATTAGCTGACGTAAAGGACGTCAAAGATAAAGCAGTTGATATAGGAGCAGCGGCAGGCGACAAAATGATTTCCGGTGGAAAAAAATCTGTTGATATAGTAGAAACTGTAGCACATGGAGTTGTGGAGAAAGCGAAACATACGAAGGATGATGTAACAGGGGAACTGAAAGAAGATGCCGCACTTGTAAAGGATACGCTTTCCACTAGTGTTGATGCTGTTGCAGATAGTATGCAGTCAACGAAAGATAAAGCTGGCAAAGAAACTAAAAAGGCTAAAGACAAAACATCTGGATTTTTCACTGGTATTTTTAAGGGTGCTAAGCAAACAGTTGACGATGCTTCTGAAGATGTAAAAGAATTCTTGGAGAAAACAAAAACCGAAGCTGCTGAAGAAAAAGCACGTGCAAAGGAAGTTGCTTCAAGAGCTACTAAATCTGCGGATGATGCAAAAGATAAGACAATTGCTGGAATTAAAGAGCTGAAAGATAAAACAGTAGCAGGAGCAGCAGATGTAAAAGACAAAACATTAGCTGGCATGAAAGATGCAAAACATAAAACTGTTGTTGCAACGGAAGATATCAAAGAGAAAGTAGGATTTGGCTTAAAAGATGCTAAAGATAAAGTAGTAAGTGAAGCACATGATATTACACATAAGGCAGTAATTGGTGTAAAAGATGCAAAAGAAAAAACAGTGGAAGGAGTAGAACATGTCACGAAAAAAACATTAGCTGACGTAAAGGACGTCAAAGATAAAGCAGTTGATATAGGAGCAGCGGCAGGCGACAAAATGATTTCCGGTGGAAAAAAATCTGTTGATATAGTAGAAACTGTAGCACATGGAGTTGTGGAGAAAGCGAAACATACGAAGGATGATGTAACAGGGGAACTGAAAGAAGATGCCGCACTTGTAAAGGATACGCTTTCCACTAGTGTTGATGCTGTTGCAGATAGTATGCAGTCAACGAAAGATAAAGCTGACAAGGAAACTAAAAAAGCTAAAGATAAAACATCTGGATTTTTCACTGGTATTTTTAAGGGTGCTAAACATACAGTTGATGATATTTCTGAAGATTTTAAAGACTTTTTGAACAAGACAAAAGTCGAAGCTGCGGAAGATGAGGCACGTGCTAGAGGTGCTGCTTTACGTGCTGCTAAATCTGTAGATGATATGAAAAATAAAACTGCCACCGAGGTCGAAGATATAAAAAATGAAGCAGTAGTAGATGCACAAGATACTAAAGACAAGATAATGATTGTTGTTAAAGATGCAAAGGATAATATTGTTACTACAACTCAAAATGTCAAAGAAAATGTAAGATTTGGTACTGAAGATGCTAAAGAGAAAGTAGTACATGGAACTCGTGAAATAATGGAGAAAACAATATATGATGTAAAGGATGTAAAAGGAAAAACATTGGAAGGAGTCCAGGATCTTACAATAAGAACAGCAGCTGATGTTAACGATGTCAAAGATAAAGCTGCTCTTACAGTTTCAGATGCAAGAGATAAAATTCTTTTTGAAAAAGTGAAAGCTTCTGATAAAATTGGAATCATTGCTCATGAAGTTATAGATGGTTCGAAAGATGCTGTAGAGAAAGAACTGAAAGAAGATGCAGAAGTTGTAAAGGGTTCATTCGTTTCTGCTTCTAGTGTTGCAGATGATGTTCAGTCTGCAAATGATAACGCTGTAAAGGAAACTAATAAAGCAAAAGACAAAGCATCCGGATTTTTTTCATATATAATTAAGGGAGCTAAACATGTAGTTGAAGATGTTTCTGAAGATGTAAAAGAATTCTTAGAAGAAACGAAACCTGAAGCTGCCGAAGAAGAAGTACGTACTAAAATAACTGCTGCACGTGCTGCTAAGACTGTAGATGATGCAAAGGATAAGACTGTTACAGGCGTAAAAGGCCTGAAAAAAGAAGCAGTGTCAGGAGTACACGATATTGAACAAAAGATCGTCTCCAATGTTACATATGCTAAAGATAAAAATTTTGCTAAAATAGAGGACATTAATGAGAAGATTACTGCTAGTGCGGGTGATGCTACATTTATTATAGTAGAAGATACACAGTTAATTACAAAACAAGCTGTCGGTAACATGAAAGATACGAAAGATAAATTTATTGGTGCGGCTAAAGATGTTAATGAAAAGACTGAATCTAGAGTATCTGATATCACACAGAAAGCAGAGGCCGTTACAGTTTCTGCAAATGAACAAATTTTCTCTATCGGAAAACAAATATCTGATAAGATAGATTCGGCAGCGCATGGACTTGTAGATACGAAAGATGCGAAGGGAACAGTTTCCAAAGAAATAGAAGAAAAAGTACAATCTAATAAGGAAATTGCAACTGGTGGTAGTGCTATTGCTGACAGTGCTAAAGTAGCTAAAGTAGAAAAAACTTCTAAGGAGGCAAAGAAGATTAAAGAGAAAGGATCTGGATTCCTATCTGGTATATTTAAAAATGCCAAGCATACAATAGAAGACGTTACTGATGATGTGAAAGAATTTTTTGAAGAAACCAAAGCTGAAGCTGCAGCTGAAGAGGCGCGAACTAAAGAAGCTGCAGCACATTCAGTCAAAATGGCAAAAGACTTAAAAAATAAAACTGCAGATGTTGTTGAAGATACTAAAGCAAGGGCAGTACCCGAAGTATCTGGCATTGCATGCAAAATTACAAGTATCATTTCTTCTGGTAATAATCTCCTTCCTAGTGAATTTGAAGATAATCGAAAAATTAATGAAAAATTCGGAGATAGAACAACTACTACTATTAGTAGTGAAATAATTCCTTCTACAAAAGAGGTTTCTACAACATTTTCAGAAGGTTATATTTTTCCTACGTCCACAGTCGATCCAAAATCTAGTGTGAGTACAATTAGTTCCGTTGTTAGTAGTGGTCAGGATTTGATATCACGAGATAGATCGAAAAAGATTTCACGCATTCCACAACGTGTTAATACTTCTCCTGATGATAAAACTGAACAATTAAGTACAAATTTGGGTTCAGATAGGGTAGTTGTGATATCTAGAGAATTAGAGCACCTTGAACCTCACACAAGGCAATCCGTCACCACAGTCGTTACAAAGTCTGTGCGGACGGCAGCAACACCACCACCCAGTCTCGCCGAGTTCACTGACAGTAGAATCGAAGGTATCTTGCAATAATTGCGTTATTCAAATTACATTCCAGCTGTGTGTAACATAATTAATTATGTTGTTGCTTTTCTTTGTAACTTCATTTTTAATAGTTATACAAAAACGTGCAAACTAGTTGTGCACTTTCATTACTTAGAATTAATTCTAACCTTCTAATCTAAATCACTTTCAGTCCACTAATGTTACCAACTTGTTGTTTATAGGTAATACATTCGTACGAAAAAATATAAAGGAGAGTGGAATGATCATTTCTATATTATTTCAGATTATACACGCTAGATAATAATATTCTTACATATATATTTATTGCTAATTTGTTAACTGTATTTCTATCGAAATTTTTATCAGATTATAATCTGAACCGAAGAATACTTTGGGGTACGAATGTGTTCAAAAGATACTTGATTGATGAAGATATATAACAAATTCCGCGTTTTTATTTATTGCCCTGAACTCCGTATATTTTTCTTGTTTGAACATTTATTTAATGCATGTTTCCAGGTTTTCAATACAATAATTTATATTATTGTTGACTGTTATCACACTATAGAAAATAATTTTTCATATTTTTTAAGTGTAATAGATTTTATTTGCAAACCCTTATTTTTCTTTTTATAAAAGTATATAACATAAAATTCACATACTTTTTATTCCATAATTTATTTAATTGGATTAACAGGACGCCACAACTATAAAGAAGCATGAGCAAGGTATACCATGCAGGAAAACATCATTCATCTAATCTTTGTTACTTCATTGCTTTTTATGTTAATTTTATCTATATATCAATATTTAAGTAACATTTCTCATTTTACAGATGTAACAGAGGAAGCTGCTAGACGAGCACAAAACCTTGTTCAACAAACATATTCTGTAACAAAACCAGGTAAAGTGGAAGTAACAGAAAAGTAATAATCATGAACACAGATCGCAGGTCAAAAATCTATGTATTAGCAAATTCTATTTTGGTGCCCTCATTTATATTTAGCTTTATCTTCCATAGTTAGCACCTGCCGATGCTTTCACACTAACGGATACTGTGCGCATGTTTCTTACTAAATATTTACCAGTATTTGCCAAGAATATATATACATGTAAATTTTAAAAACACATTGCTGTAATTTACATACTGCAGTGGTTCATATGGAACGAGAAAATTATCATTTTTTTGGAAATGGCAACATATTGAGAATAAATACGGTTTACGATCTCTATGATTTATAATAGTTCATCTCATAAATGTATAATATATTATAAAGTGTTTCAACTCCTTTTTTTTTATAAATATTTGTTAAAAGAATCTTTTAAAAAAGATGTTTTTATATAAAAATAATTAAAAGTATTTTTCCTACATCCTTCTTTACCACAATTGATTGATAACTATTCAAGTAAGTCTTCTATTATTCTAATAATACAAAACTATTTGTAATATATTAAAACGTATTCGAGATTAAATTTGTAATGGTCCATTTTAGTAAGATCCAAGCGTCACAATTAGACACTATTTAATGAGTGTTTTTTTTATAAACAAACTAATCCTGTTCCAGTATTGATACTAACTAAACTTATCGTAGAAGTGCGACGTACACACCCACGTACATGCAGAAAAAATGCGCGTGAGCGTGCGTGTGTGCGCGTGCGCCTGTTAGTGGGTATGGGCGTACACACACATATGAATGTCAAGCAGACACGCTAAATCTTTATGTCCAACTCACGAAGTTGGATTAAAATGATTAATTTTTAGTGTGTATCAATGTGCTTTATGTCCTTGTTCCTGTTCTTGTCCATGTCCTTTTGGATGGGTCAGGGCATGATTCGGCTGAGATTGATGGGACTGTAGAGAGGCATGCTACTTCTGCTCCAACAAAACAACCTGTTCCCGCCCCACGTCATTTCACCACCAAGTCGTCCACCAAAGCTGATTTTCATCTAGATTTTGGTGACGCCTCACGAATATCACATGGTCTTAAAATTAAGAAACCATTCGAGTGTTCCCCTGAATCTCCAGAAAAAAGCAATTCAAAATCCAAAATTCCTGTGAAAATAAAAAAGCAGATGGAAGACGAAGAGAGCGTAATGAATAAAACTATAGAATCAGATATTCGTGGCCGATTAAAGATGGAATCTCATATTCCTTTACCAAGATCAGCCGATATAATATGTATTACGAAGGATGAATTGTTAGCCAAAGATCATTCAATCCGTTCACAATCGGATACTGGTCATCTTATTGATAAAGATAAAGATATTATAAAGACTGAAAATTTGACGAAGAAGGAAAGGATCGAAACGAGTGATACGTATCCATCAAAAATATTTGATTCTGATAAAACTTATACCACAGTAACAACGATCGTGTCTTCCTCGGAACAAGCGATCGATCCTGACAAGCTAAACGAACTTATGCAAATGGATGAAGTTTTGAAAACAGTTAAAACTGTAACCACTACTTCTACATTTGAAATAACAGATTCAGAATATCCTACGGAAGTTATTAAAAGGAAAACTACTAGAATTACAGAAGTCTTACCTGATTTTAAAGGCATTGATGTTTATGAAGATGAACCCAGTATAGGATTAAATCCAAGTAACAGTAATCAGAATATTAAAACGAACGAAGATGGAACGTTTATAGAAAGATTAACTACAATAAGGCAATTTACTGGACCTTCTTATTCGGAAAGATTAAATCAATCGATGTTAGAATCGATGAGAACTGATGATGATCGATCAGATGATCCATTTTTTTCTTCAGACCTGAAGACATCGGAATGCGAGATTGATAGAAGTTATATGAAAGCAGGAAAATCAGAAAGCGATGAACGAGACACATGGACGCAAGCCGGAGTGGCAGAATACTCGTCCATTAATAATTCCGAGCAATGGGAGACGCAGCTTTCTTTAGACACATCACCTGGTTCTGGTAATGGTGACATTTATACAAAAAACGATAGTTTGCGGCACGAATTGAACAGCGATACAGATAGTGACGGTTCTCCTCGGCCAAGAAGAAGATCCCCATGCAAGAGACGTACTTTGGGCAGTTCTAGCGGGTCGGACGTAGCACTGCACGAAGGTGCGGAACTGTCCCCATTGGAGGACGACCAAGGTACCACATTCACAGCTAACCTTCTAAGTAAGCAATGTACGAATCCCGCTAACCAGTTACCTCGAATACGTAATTGCGTCCGTATATAGAATATTTTATATATCGACATGCTTTCTTTTTCATTTGCTTTTATTTCGCATGTACACGCAATCTCGCACAGGCCTCTATTTTCAACACTGGAACGTAGCTACGTTCGTAATTCGTCCTAATCTCAACGGTTCACTCTTCTACGGGATGAAATTGTAACTGGCATATTTGGATTCTTTATTCCTTCGGATCTTTTAAGGCGATTTTTGACATTTTCACTATTTTAATCTCTTCTTCGAAATAAATTTACTGTACTTACGTTCGATTAGTTACAATCTTCTTTACAGAAGAGAATCGAGTTGGTGCGATACCTGCAGCAACGCTTCTATTATTTTTCTTTTTGATCTTGAAGTAGTATATGTGCGCGCACTGATCAGCAATGTCTGGGAACTGCATGACATTAAGATTTCTACGATGTCTTTTAATTTGATGCATTCGTACAAGGTGTAGGGCCGGTATTCGGTATTTGTATGGTGCAAATTTAAATGATTGGTTGCAAAGAAAAACAAAGCTTGTGTACCAGGATCACAAACTTATATACGTGTGTGGCTCCTAAATTACATATTAGGGGTAAAATATGCGTCCTACGGTGTATTGCTCGGATTAACGTGCTTCGTTATTTGGAAATATTGTCGGTGAAAAAAGATTTTGCCTTCCTACCGTTGGTCTTTGCTACGAAATGGACGAATTTGTCATGAGGGGCTTCTGGGGCTAATGTATTATCATTGAAACTTACTTGCAATAAAACGTGTCTGTACATTCAATTTCGTGCTCTTGTTATTAGTATAATGAAATGGCAAGTACATTCGAATAACTTAGATATTTCGACTGTTCACATTTTATTGTTCATATTTATTTTATAATTCACATTCAAGGGAAATCGAAAATTTCATTATTCATTCAGAACAGATGGATTAGTTTTTGTTTCTTTTTCTTTGTTTAATAAACATAATATTTAACAAAGAGACTTAACACGTGAATAATTTGTGTGCGAAGTCTTCAGTTTCATTAAACGATCAAATGTTGATTAAGCATCTTTTAAACGAACTTATCAGTCTATGTCAACTATATTTCATTGATTTAATTGTTTCGTCGCAAAAATATTTTTCTTAGAAATAACTTGGAAGAACGAAAAGATTTGTTGTATTGTGATTTACACTATACTCGCCTGCTGTTTCTTCATACTAATTATACGGCAGGGAGACGTCATGAAATTAAAAAAAAAACATCTGCACGAAGTCCATACGCTTGAAAGAAATTTACGAAAGGCATAATCTTTAAGTGACAGAAACAGACAGTACGGTACGATCAGTTTGCTCGAGCATGCAGTGCAGTGTGATAGAGACGAAGCCTAGGACGAAGACTACCGGTAGGACGAGCTGTGCTTGTTGGATGAGTGCAGCAGCTGCTGTATTGATGGTTCTACTAGCACTTTTACTTACCGTGGAGCCACGTACATTCCAACGTGCCATCTACACTCTCTCTAACAATATCCCGAGGCAAGCTGGGTACGATTACCCTTCATTTTACTCTTCTCTATAAAGTAACCACTCAGATCGAGCTTTAATTTAAAATGAAATTTAATATACAATGAAAGTCGATACATACATAAGAGAAGTTGAAAATTTCGATGCACGAAGCATCTTTAATAAGAGCATTTTAATAAGGAAAAGTTCGTATCCATGAGCATTCCGTATCAAAAGCGTAATAAATGAACGACTTGACATTCTATCCTGTAGGTACTGGAGATATCTAATTAGCTCATAATTAAATAGCACCTTGCTATAACGAAATTGGTTCCCACTGATTCGTGTTTTTTTCTACCCAAATTTACAGTTTGCCAAATTAAAATATATTCGATTTAATTCATAGAAAAATTTTTATAATCAAATTTAAAAATATATATATACATTCTTTGTGCTTAGAACTAAAATGCAATTACATCAATAGCAGCAAGTCCAATCTTCAGCAGCGTCGATAACCGACTGACATCTCCAAATCCAAAGAATTTGTCGTATTAATTATTTCACAACGAATATTTGTTGCCCGCGAAATCTCTGATTTATATATGCCCATTTTCGATAAAATTAGTTTTGGGCTAATTGCGTGATCGTACTGATTGATTAATCGGAACCAGATTTCTCTTTCCATTAATTATAAAAACAGATATTTTCTCCGATATTTCAAATCATTGTTCTCCTGTAGGATTCAATCTTCATTTTTCTCAACAAATTAATACTTGGTAACAAAGCTTTTTACATATTTCTAACATTTTCTCGACAACCAAAGTATGTTTAAGTACTTACAAGTTCTTTTAATTTTTTTTTTTTTTGCGTCAAAATCCGTTAAATCATCGATCATTTTTGTTTCTTCTACTACTAATACATATTTTCGACTTTCTCATATACTTAACAGCGGCTGATTAAGACATTTTCAACCCCTTAAGGTGTTCACAAAAAAAGATATAGTTATTTCTACTACTTTTCTCTTATTTTCGTGCAAGAATTAAAAATAAAGCAAAAAAGAAGGAATTAGCTGTCATCGATTGTGAATTGGGCCGAACATGTTATTATCAGACAAATTGTATATTCCCCTAATCGTAACACTATCCGATCGAAGGGACATTGGAAAATTTTCGAATAAGGAATGATGCGTCACCGTCTAGACTTTCCCTAAATGCAGGAAAATCTCGATGATTGTAAAGGTGTTTTTTAGGCAAAGTTTCTATATTTTTTGTCTCGATGAATGGCTTGCTATTTCGTAGATACCGACGCGTTTATAATTTTATTACTCAAACATGCGTCGGACCTTTTTTATTATTCGGCCAGTCAATCATCGTGTCTGGAAGATACCCTTCTCTACATATTCTATTACTATCATGACGATAACACTTATGTACGAACATACATATACAAAACACGCAAAAATACTTACGTGCATACATATAATACAATTTAACCGACACAGGTGTATCCTCTACAATGATATTCTACAATTTATATGCATTGAACAGGTAACTTTGATTCTTAAGACAGGTGCATGAAGGAGTAAACTCTTGAATATAGAAAGATATGCAAGCTTTCTTTTTCTCGTATTTACCGTTTACCTAAACGAAGTATCAACTGTTTTTGCATGGTTTTTTATTATTAGTACTAGTTCGCATGACATTGCCTATAATTTCTTTGAACGTTATATTCCTGTAGCATCTTACAGTTATGTGTAATCTGTGTAAAGGGCCAACGATTAATAATATGTTATTTTCATGCGTTTATCAGCTAGTGCACGTACACATTGAGAAAAGTTCGATACATCATTCTTAAGCATCCTTTAGTTCTTTTACCCTTCTAGCTCTTCTGACAATAAGCCACGCAAGATAAAGCTAAAGTGTAGAGGGACCAACAATCGTGTTTTTAGTCACGTTAGGATTGTTAGGCGAATAGTCATGTAAGTAAGCCTTTATTTGTGTATATAGTATATACTATAAATAAATAAATAAATAAATAAATATATATATATATATATATTTAAATACATATATATATATAGGTATATACATATGAAAATTATAAAATTGCCCGTCATAAAATACTATGGATTAGCAAATCATCCGAGAACCTTGACAATTAACTTTATTATGTGCCGAAAGAAGTGAGTTTTAGCGTGACAACTAATGTAACTTTTCTCTTTTCGATGGCGCAGCTATCGAACGCTATGCAATCTGCATATTTTAAATGAAAAATCCTAAGCTTGTAGAAATGCACATTTCCTTCGCTAAGTATAGCTAATAAGTATAGCTAATATAAAGCTTGCAATATAATACTCCAGTATTATTTGACCGTTCGTCTAACAATACTAAATAAGTAGTTAGTATGTGCTACTTAAAAATTTTGGATTAGTATTCAGAACATATGAGATACAATTAAAAAACAAGCTAAAAAACAAATTAAAAAACTACAGTAATAAAAAGAAAAAGAAAAGATAAGAAAAAGAGTATTTCCATTGATCGACAATAGTAGAAAATAAGATGTTTTTATGAAAGAGCAATAAAAAATACTTGAGGTATAGAAAGAGTACCAATGAAAAATGACATTCAACTATTTTTTAAAACGATATCAGACGATAAATATTTTTATTACGTTAACGTAGTGCAGATGTAATCAGATCTTAAGATCTCGCACATTGCACGAAATTATTTAATAGTAGCATTGAAATGAAACGGGATCAACGACTTAATTTCTAGCAGTATCTAATTTCTATTCATGTACTCGATGTTCTTGCTTCAATTAAATCGATGAAAACTCCTATTAGATTGTATTGTAAAATATACATACATATATTTTGATTGTACTGATAATATTGAGTACTCGTATCTCTTACAACTAACTGCTAAATGCTTTATTCGGCAGCTTTTATCGGCGCTTCACACGAGCTCGCTGCGTGCAGCACAGTTATACTGAGAAATAACTTGAATCTCAGTTATTGATCATTAATTTTTGAGCGCTGACACGACAGTGCTACTTGCCAATATCTATCTATTGAAAGAAAATAATTCTCGAAAGACGCGTCTATATATAAGCGACGCTGTTACAGTAATTCAATTTCATTCAGAGTCAACGATATAAACTCATTTCCTTACTTACATATTAATATATAAAATGAAATGAAACAAATTTGTATATTGTCCGTATCATATGGCTCGTCGCACTGGAATATAAAAAGTCCGTTTGAATACATCGAGGCAATATCAATCACTCGCAACATATTTTCTACAAAGTACAAAGTAAACGTGTCTATAAAAAGCGTTAAAATAAAAAAAGAAAGAAAAAGAAAAAAAACAATTGCATAATGTTTGGCTGGTTGAGTGAAAATGCGTATTATATATTTATTATGTATCGTCAAATGTTTAGCGATGTTGCAACTTTTTTTTATATGTGTCTAGTATTATTACCCCTTGTTTTTGGGCATGATGTAAAATTGAAAGGTATAAGATTGGTACTTGTCTTCATGTGAACAATCGACATAGTAAACTTGCTTACGTTTTTAGAACAGATAGTTGATTAATTTTCTTTTGTTACACAGAATCTGACTTTTTGCAACAAAGCGAGCCAACCTTTGTAGAAACAATAACGACCGAAATGGATCCCTTAACGCAGGAAAGGTATTCATTTCGTTTCTTTAACTTTTTCTTTGTGATTGTTCTTTGTTTTACGTTGATGTTCCAATCGAATTCTATTTTTAGAGTAACAAGAACGATGCAAGTAGTGACGACAACAACGACGATACCAATGGCAGGTGGCATAGCTGTGACGGACGATTTGCGGGAATCAATGCAGAAAATAGTCGACCAATTTATGGCAGAGGAAAGGAAAGGCCAGTAAAGATGTGAAAGATGAGAAGCTCGAAAAAAAATAATAATAATAATAACAATAATAATAATAGAAAAAGAAACAGATTCAAAAAAGAAACAGTCGTCAAAAGAATATAAAATTCCTCTAAGGGAATAATATTTTCTTTTGCGTTGACTTAACGAAGCATCTGTTCGAACAAAATACTCCATTAAAATTCACTATCCAATAAAATAAATAAAGCTCTTCATTCTCGCGACGTTTCCTGAGAAATAAACAAGGCATATACTATGTATGTATTGTAAGACGTTATATCGTCACGCCGCTTATGGCCTACGCTTCGAATTTGCTTGCCCTTCCGTTCTATTTCGTTGCCTTATATCTTTTGTGTTTGAACTGGTAATTATTATTAATAATATATGTATGTATGTATATGTCGTTGCTAGTCCGACTAGCTCTCTGCTAGTCTTCACTATGCCAACCCGTCCACGTACAACGCCTTCTCTCGTGTTGTTCAAAACAAAATAAGGAAACGAATTGTTTTTGCCTTCAAATAAAAAGTTATCAAGGCAAATCAAAGTATCGATCGAACAACTAAAAAATCATATTGAAATTAAAAAACGAAACGATGATAAATGCGTCTTATTCGAAGACGTCTATCTGAAACGAACGATATGCCATGGCGAAAGCAAATATTATATTTATAATGTATAATGAAATCTCGATAATATAACGAAATTAAACGACAGATTTTACATTGCGGCTTTGCTAATTGGTCGCTGGGGAATCTGCTTTAGCTTTAGAATGACTGTAATGTCTATCTGCGCAATACATCGCTTAATTAGAATAGTAAACTTTTATTCATATTTCCGACAGTGAATTTCGCAGATGATCTTGTTGTCACTTGCCTCAGAAACAAATTAAGTGCACAATAAATTGTAGGATCGATGAGTCGTTTCTGATTCAATTGACAACGAGAAACGAATGTTTTTATTAATCGAGGCGCAATGTAACTGTAATTTATTTAAAGAATATTTCCTAACAATTTTTAATTATATATATATAATAATTTCTTAGCATAACTTATACAAATGTACTATTATACAGTTGTAATAATGACAAGATTATAACACGAATATTTTATTTATATAGCTAAAAAAAGAAGAGAAGAAATCATTGGTATAATGTTACATGCGTAAATTTTGAAATGAGAGTAATGTTGTTGGCAATCTGTCCATATGAATTGTATAAAATATAAAAAAAAAACGAGGCAGCACGATGATTATGAAAAATATATTGTTTAAATTTATTAGTTTGAATTTGTCTCAGTGAAAGTGTTAGCTTTCAATGTACAACACAATTAAAAAAAAAAAGTACAGGAAAAAATAATATGTGTATTAAAAAAAACGTTACGAATATGACATTCGATTTATGTATGATACATTGAAAGATATAATTATTACATATACGAAATTTATAACTTATTACTTGTAATGACTGTTAAACTACAATTAATAGACTTGCCTAGAGCCTATTTGACCTAAGGACCAAAGGCACAATCACGCGCGCATGAAAATGAATGAAACGCTCCAATGTATTGTAACATTTAGTGTAATTTCACGAATGTTGTAATACTGGTATTTAAACATTCTGGGTAAATCAAACTACTGATTACATCGCGAAAGAATAACTATTTTCCATAATTTATGTGCAAAAACGCATTAACATCTGCTAAGAAAGAAATGTCTCGTAAATACAAGAGTGGTAATTATAATATAATTACTACAATTCGGGACGAAAATTAAACATAACCCTTTGACGATATTCGATATTTGGTATTCATTCGCGTACGGAAAAGTTATTAAAAATATTTCAACCTTTAGCGAAGATTATCCAATTATACCAGCAGATTTTGCGCAACAGCGTATAATCAAAATAATGGTAAAAACTCCATAAATCGGTAAGTTATATTAGCATTAGATCAAGAGAGACAAAGTTACGTCAAAGGGTTAATATCTTCTACTTTGTTATGCATTGTTACAGTAAGTTAAAGAGACCAATCTATAGTATATCATTATTTCTTGTAATATATCTTATATTACATGATATATAGGTCTAAGAAGTATTTAATTTTCAATCTCGCATTAGTAGTTTTCACAGATCCTATAATTTTGTACAGTCCACTTTTTCTGAGTAACATGACATGCACGCAATCAGCAACAGCCATTTTACTCTGTGCTATTTACATATGTCTTTGCTATTTAATATATTGTGTTAAGTTATAATATTGTAATGGCATTGCACGGCATTATATCAACCAAAAAGAGAAGGTATGAAGTATATAGCACTGTGTGGTTGAATTATCAATAACAGCATAATAAACAAAATGTTCTAATGCAGTTATAATGTATTACAAAAGAAGAAAAAAAAGAGTAAAGAAAGACAGAATTCGTTTTGTCTCGTTCTTTTATTCATAAAGCACAAATTATGCTGTAACGTTTCTTGTCATGTTTTAATCTCATTAAAGTAATAACATTCACTCCATTATAGAAGTTTTATATTCTAATATTAAAAATAGTACATTTTAAGAAAATATTTAAAAAATTCACTTATAAACGCATGCAATCAATTAATTTTAACATTTGGTAAGTATATTAATGGTGAAATAAGATCTATAGAAAATATTGAAATCACTTTTGTTAATATATTAATAAACACTAGCATATTTATATTTTCATGTTACCATTACAGACATCTATAACAAATTTATAAATATTTTTAATGTGTACAATATCATAATATATAAAACAAATATTTCTTTATTTTACACATTGTACAGAATATTTATATATAGTCGATATATTTTAAACTAAATAAACAAGATACATTTTATCTTCACTCCTTTCGATATAGCGAAGTTGGCTGCCAGTATGTTACCGCTGTATGGGACAATTGGATCACGAGTATATATTTTATCGCAAAGTATAAGATTTAATACTTTATCGTATTATACAAATTATTGGTTTTTTACTGAAATTATATGAAATTAATATAGAACGAATTATAAATGAATATACGTTAGAAGAACGTTGGTTGCCATGAAAATATTAGAATATGCTACATTCGTTTAAAGTTCTTAACTTGAGCAAAATTTTGCGTTTTACTATTTTAATATACATAAGCATTTAACATTGACCAACTATAATCAGGAAGGAAACGGCTTATGAACTAGCTTGGAATTAAGACATTTTCTTTCTAATAAACAGTTTTTAATGATGCAGATTAATACACATAAAAATTTGTAGTGTTATACATATGTATGTGTATATATATATATATATATATCTATATATACACACAATATATATTTGTATATATATACTATTTTTCTTCTGTTTAAAATGGTTATACATTCATATATCATCAAATTACTTACAATGATATACAAAAATGAAGAGGTATATATGAGAACATTACTTACTTAGATCTCTATTAAGTGCATGGTAATATAATGTACTTTAGCCAAATCTATAAAATTTATAAATTAAATATAAATGATAGATATGCGTTTATAGTGACACAATTTGGATAAAAGATATCTTACAAGACTTGAGAAACAATACAATTGCAAAACAAGTACAATATTAATGGGAAACATGTTATTTTATTCATAGATACAAGAAAAATTGGCTACTTATTAGAAGCAAAATTTGCTGTTTTAGTGAAGTGTCCATAGTTGCATCTATTGAAATAAATAGATACTCCTATACCATCTGACACTATATATTTGCACCTGACTGTATTATAGATCATCAGATCTGTAAAAGTGAATGCATATATATAATTATTTTTTATGTGTTTCTTTTATAAGCAGAAGCATTGAAAGTTTTGATTTCAAAACTTACATTGTCTACATCATCTTCATCATCATCACTGATTTCATCACCAAACTCAATATCTTCATCAAATCCATCTTCAACAAAGGTAACAGTGTCATTGATGCGTACTGAAACAATAATGTTTTCATATTATCAAATACTGAAACTTTAAAATAAATATGAATTAGCATAGTTATTTGATACATTTATATATAAACAATTTATATTGTCATATAAAAAAATTATTATACTTACCAGTTTCAGGAAATTCACCATAAGTTTTTAAATTTCGAGCTTCATCAGATGTATATTTTAAAATAACATCTGCTTTTGCATCTTGATAATCTCGAAGACCAATTAAAATGATATCACCTTGATTAATCCAAACCTTTTTACGAAGTTTACCTCGAATGTGGCACAATCTCTTTACACCATCAAAGCACATTGCTTCTAGCCTGCCATTACCAAGCATCTTTGTTACTTGTGCATATTCTAAAAAAATTTTAATATTACTGTATACAATCATTCTACAGGTCAATTTAGATATATCTATATTCAACAGTTTACCTTGACCATCTTCTTTAAACACCAACTCTCTCTTTTCTGTTTCATTCTCATTTTTACCTCTCCTCCTATTTTTACCTCCCTTTCCTAGAAAAGTAAAAGATATTGTTATAAAATGATATTAAACATGAATCAATAATTATAATTATAACTTAGTAAAGAATGCACATTGTAATACATGATTGACACTAATAGGTTATAACAATCTAATCATATTACACTATGAAAATTACACGTGGTATAGAAATTTCTATTTGGATGTAAACTTTTAAAGTAGAAAAAAAGGGTTTACTGACCCTTATTTTTCGGCATGATGACTTAAAATGTATTCTCGCGTATATAATCTCTCAATGATTTCACACAACGCGACTGGAAGAAGTAAAAGTACTTAGCTTACAGTTTTTTTCTTTCTTTTTATATATAATATTCTATGACTAGATGTCACTAGCTTCGCTTGCTGACGCTCCCTATGGACTGTGTCTATAGGCCAAAATCTACTTATCGGCCGATATAAAAGTAAATGGTATTACCAACTGTGATAAAATTTAATAATAGTAAGTGACAGACGAAAAAGCAACCTGAAAACAAAAATCATGAAATTAATGCGTGACCAAACGCACTAAACTGCAACTTATACGTATAGTACGTTAGGAACTATGAATGAAGTATTCAAATAAAGTAACATAAAATGCGATAAATCTAAAAAATTTGATTAGCTGCAAAAAAATACAATACGGCAGTTAATTATGTTTGGAAAAAGAAAACAGAAGTAAAATCTTTAAATGTTGATTTCTTGTGACACTAATAATTTTCACTTTCTGAAGTTTGTCACAGATTCAAATTGGACAAGTTGGAAATATTTAGAAACGTCCTTTATATTAGCGATAAATTTTAATTATACCTACTAATTAATAATTACTATTTATTTAATAACATAATATATATAAAAAGAAATATAATAAAAAAACAAATTAACAAGATAACTCATTATGTATGAATTTAATATTGTTTGTTATCTGTATTATTTCTAGTTTAAGAAATGGATAAAATTTAATTGGATATTCAATTGGATAAAGTTATAAAATTAAAATTAAAATTGTCCAACAAAAAGAAAAATTTTAATTAATGATTAAATAATATAGTTTTCTTTATTATATATATGACCTTAAATATTTTGACATATTTACCTTTGATTTTTTTGTATCGTTGTTATTTTATATTATTTGATGTGTATGGACGCGCGCGTGTGTGTCGTATAAGCAATCTACTGACGAATGGATCGTATTGGACGGTTAGATGTGAATGTCCAAGTTCGATTTCAGTAACTGTAACGGTTGTTTCAAGAAAAGACTGAAAATTTTATTTAGAATATGTACGTGTCATTTTTGTTGATACAATATAAAATATTTGTTCCATTTCAATAGTTCAGACTATGTCCTAAACAATATAGAAACGTGTTTATATATATGTGTTTGTATATATCATATATAAATATATATATATTTATATATTTATATTTAATACATTCAACGATAAATTAAAATTAATGATAAATTAAAAAAAAAAGAATTGTTTGAAAATAATGACTAAAATATAATTGATATTTAATACATAAGCTTATTAAAATAACATATTGCTGGTTTAACAAATTTATAAATATCTTCATTCTGCTAGGTTATTGATATGAATCAAACTTTTATAAATTTTGGTTTTTAATTAATTCTTTCGTATTACAGAGACTTAATTATATAGAATGCCAAAATCAAAGGAATATGTGTCAAGTGATAGCGAAAGTGATAGCGAGCAGGTAATTTATTCGTTACATTTATTTTGGATTATTTTTTATTGTATGCAAAATACATTAAACAATTTTACATTTAAGTTATTACAACATTTTATAACAGTCTGTTTTATATGATGAAAAAAAATAATTCCATTTATATACTTATAATTTGTTTTATAATATATATAAATTTATATATTTTACAATTACAATTTAAATATGAAGTTTCTATAAAATACTTGAATATTAATTTATTTAATAAATTGTCAAACATTGCACTGTTATAATTGGAAGGAAGAGCAAGTCAAGAAGAAACAGAAAACAGAAAAGGAAGAAAAAGCTGTCGCGAGTAAAAAGCCAAAAAAAGAAGTAAAAGAATCAAAAGATGAAGATGAAACTGTGTGGGATTTAGGTAACAATCGTCAAGTAAATGTTAGAGATTTTAAAGGAAAGCTCTTTGTGGATATAAGAGAAATGTATTATGATAAAGCAGGAGATTTAAAACCAGGCAAGAAAGGTATAAATACAAAGTAAATTAATTTTATGAATAATTTGATAGGAAGAACAATTATACTACTAGTTAACAATAATTAATTAATGACTATTTATTTTTAATACAGGTATATGTTTAAATATGACACAATGGCGTAAGTTCATGTCAATCGTGGAAGAAGTTGATAGAGTTGCAAAATCAAAATGTTGATAAATTATTTTGTCATTGTTGATTAAAATCATCTTAACTGATTATAAGATGTACATTTTGGGTTTTCTTATTACATTAAAATATTCTTTGATATTAAATGTATTTGTTTCTATAAGAATCTAGGTTTTTTTACAAAATAATGGACATTTGTCTTTTTTCTTCTTATATAATTGTCATTTCAAGCGTTACTATTAATATTATTTGAAATATTGTTATTAATAATATTTCATGTATCACATACACGATAATAAATATATAAATATTAATAAATTATAGTAAATTATTTTTAATTTAAAAAATTAAATTTTTCTTGTTTATATTTCCCTTTTAATTACTTTAAATTACCTAATTAAAACAATTATTATAAGTATAATTACCTAATTAAAACAATTTTATTATAAAAAAAGTTAAAAGATTTTTGAAATCTAACAAAATTTTTGAAAACTTGTACTACTATCTCATTTAATTTAATAGACTTCTGTAATTATTTACATACATGAATAGTAGATATCACTTTTGGAGATAAGCAACATTTTATACAACATCAATAAAAATAATTCATATTGAATATTATAAAGGTGTAAAAAAGTAGCGTTTATAATAAAACGTTTTAAGAAAAATAAAAAGAAAATAAAAGTAAAATAAAAGTAAAATTGTAATTTAATTTATATTATGATACAAGTTAAATATCGTTCAGAAGTATTTTATTTTAATACTAGTTCAAATACGCTTAATGATAAAATAATTTTTTTATGTTCTGTGTTTACTATTTGAAAAGTATATTGTATACATAATTCAGAACTTGATATTTAAATTCGTTCGTATGTATTCACTTAGAATTAAATTGCTGTACGATCGAAAGCATGAAGACTACTAAATTTTTCTATCGAAATGAAATCCTTTGAACATGTGTAAAGGCGACATGCATGAAGTAAAAAAAGAAAGGAGAATACATAAAGTATCTTTAAAACTGTAATTGGCTCGTAGAAAAGAATGTATGTGCAGTCGATTTAATTGAGCAAGTTCTTGTATTTTCATTTTGAGGATAAGAGTTCTTCGTTTCTACACTAAAATCATCAATTTTACTGTGAAAATGAAGTTGTCTCTCATATTTAAAAAATAAAAATGAAGCAATTTGCGGAAGAGAAAATAAAGCAAAAAGGAGCAAACGTTGGAAACATACGTATTGATTGTGGAAGGGATATGCGAGAAAATCTGAAAGAATGAACATCCTCAAAAGTTATACAGCGCACTTCGGAAAATGGACTTCTTCAAGAATCGTTATTATAATATTAACAAAGCATTAATGTACGTCATTGGTATTTGGCATTACCAAAATTCTATGAGAACTTTTCAAATGATGAGCTATACGATTTTAAACATCACTACAAAGTTTTGGTAAACTTGCTTATTAGTTTGTTCGTGTTTTTTAATTTTTTAATTTCTTTTTTCTTTTTTTAATATTTTGCGTTAATAAAGATTGTCAAGAATGTATTTTTATCGAAAGAATTGTATTTATTTTCTTTTCTTTATTTGCTTTTCCTTCTTCAACTAGCAAAATTGGTTACGACAACGGAATACAAAGTAAATCTATTTGTCAATATATTTATATTTCTATTATATTTAATTTTATATATTTAATCTTTGTTATTGTTCTGGTTATTGTACTTTTCGTTACAATATGAAAAAAGTGAACAATATGAAAAATGACAACATTATTAATAGAATATAAACATATATATATATATATATATATATATATATATATATATATATTATATATATATATATATGTTTATATTCTATATTATATATATAGAATATATATAACATATATATAATATATAGAATATATATACTCTATATTATATATATATATATATATATATATATATATATATATAAACATATAAACATATAAACATATAAACATATAAACATATAAACATGTATATATAGACCGAACATAATCAATTCCTTTCGGTCCATTGTACTAAGAACAGAAGCGACAGTGCATATACATACATACATACATTCATACATACATTCATACATACATACATTCATACATACATTCATTCATACATACATTCATACATACATACATTCATACATACATACATACATACATACATACATACATACATACATACATACATACATACATACATACATACATACATACATACATACATACATACATACATACATACATACATACATACATACATACATACATACATACATACATACATACATACATACATACATACATACATACATACATACATACATACATACATACATACATACATACATACATACATACATACATACATACATACATACATACATACATTCATACATACATACATTCATACATACATACATACATACATACATACATACATACATACATACATACATACATACATACATACATACATACATACATACATACATACATACATACATACATACATACATACATACATACATACATACATACATACATACATACATACATACATACATACATACATACATTCATACATACATTCATTCATACATACATTCATACATACATACATTCATACATACATACATACATACATACATACATACATACATACATACATACATACATACATACATACATACATACATACATACATACATACATACATACATACATACATACATACATACATACATACATACATACATACATACATACATACATACATACATACATACATACATACATACATACATACATACATACATACATTCACACACACACACACACACACACACACACACACACACACACACACACACATATATATGATTATTGTTATTACTTTTTAATATATATATTTGAAATTTTTTAATAAATAGATCAAAAAGTTCTTTAATATATTAAATTCGATTGAGAAGAATTGAAAAATACGGAAAAAATGGCTATTATTAAAAAATATGCCACTAAAAGAGTATAATTAGTATGCCACTAAGAATTATACAATCATTTTAACAGGTAATGAAAATCTTTTTTGACAATAATCGTTAGATTATTTTAGGTTGTTGATATTGATAATATTACGATGAATTTCTTTCAGTAATATTCTTTGGTTTCTTGTTCATAATTGTTTTAATATACCTCTTATCAAATTTATTGAATATTGTCATCCCATTAAATCAATCACGCAAATCAAAATCACTTCCTATTAAAACACTTTTCTAAATCGAATGTTCTATCTATGGACTTGTATTAATAATTCTTATATTAGCGTGTTTGGGTGTATAGCATTGGCAGTATACAGTAGTTTTTTACTTTTCATACAATATGCTTGTGGAATGTTAAGTCTCACGGGATATAATTGAAGAAAAAATTGTATCAATAACATTTTTAATGATTATTTACAATATTCTACATATATAGTATCCAATTATATACCATTTCGAATTTGTCTTCAGATTTATTTTGGACATGATTTCATCGATAGCGAACGATATATTTACGACAGCAATAAAAATGAAATGATTTATAAAAGCATCGTTTGAAATATCTGGTTTCATATTAAAACTTTAAAGTTAGCAGAGAATGATAGACGTAATATTTTAATCAAAATATTTTAATTAAAAAACTACTTTCTTATTTTTCAAGGTTTATCGTTTTCATAAAAGATATATCCGAGGAATGTTATACTATTCAAATTTCATTAGTTTTAATCCTCATTCCTTCTATGTGAAGGTATATGAACTTAATAACAAATATTCCATAAATATGAGAATATTGTAATAAAATTCGATAATTTGGTTTATGCAGATAAAGATGGAAATATTTGAGAATATGGATGATACAATAGTATGTATCATCCACCTTATAGGTACAATGTTTTCTTTATTCATTAATTGTCACGCCGGTCAGTAAATAATAGATCATAACAACTACGTGTTCCACAAAGCAAGAGTATTCAATTTAATATCGCTAATTCTACGATACGAAAATAAGGATTGATAATTTTTAGAAGAGTTGACCGTGGTATTTAGTTTCCGAAAAGATATAAAAATCAGTGATAATAATATTAATGAGAAGTCAAAAATTATGTTACTTGGAAGTAGGTAAAACATTTGTCTCATAGTACGAATTTTTTGTTTTAGTAAGAAGAAATAAGTTTTTCTTTTTGTTCTGATTAATGTGTTAATGATTAATGTGATGTTTTAGAACATAACAGATATATTTTTTATTTTAAAGCTATTAAAAACTTCGATATCCTATGCAACATTATGGTATTCAATGCAATAAATGATATACGACTATACCAGAACACTATATTTTTTTTTAAGCAACAATATTTTATTCATTTCGTTCACTAATTGTCATGTTAATCAATATATCTACATATATTTACAATATATCTAGATAAATTTACAATATATTTACATTATCACGTAAAAAAAAGTAAATTTCGATCTTTTTTTTATAATTATATGTATAAAATGATAATTATTAATATAGTTATGAAAAATCTATATTTTCTTCATGATATGATGTTTAATATTCTATAAATCAAAAAAATTTATAATCATGATAGTGATCTTTTTTCAATATCAGCAAAACGTCGAATTTCATTTTGTAAAATTTCAGATACACACATCATGTATTTACTTACACATTATATTATACCTACGCATTATATTTATACATTAATATTATCCTTTATAAATTTATACTGATTGAAAATGATGAAAGAAGAAAATATTATTAATCTAATCACTACTATTTCATTTATTTACTTACCTATAATAGGTATCAAATTAGTGGCTAAAGGATCTTCGAAGTCAATAATTTTACATTCATCAAAAATTCTAAATAATTCTTTTTTATTCTTTTTCACAAATCTATGAGAACATGAGTATATATTAATACCTTCAGTTTTAAAGTTAAAATTCACTTCGAATGGATAGTACGAGCATTCGACATGCTCCGTAAAAATATCTCAAACTAAAGAAGGAGTAATGAGTGAGTACGCATGTCAAGGAATATTTTTATGCAGAGAGAAAAAGAGGGGAAAAATACCCACCATTACGAGTTAATTATGTTCGTCAAGAAAAGTTAGATGTATAAATTCTCGATCGATGAGAAACGATTATCAGCAACCCTTTTATTTTGTTATTGATTATATGTTTTTGTATAAAAAAAAGGAAGATGGTGGAAGAAAAGAAAAATATACCACGCAATTTTTTCTTTTAATTCTCCTATTATAAAAGTAATAGATGTAAATTCGAAGGAAGAGAAAAAGAGAGTAAAACGACATAAGCTCGATCGAACTTTGACTCTTTGTCTCATGGCAGACTCGTTTCAACCTTGCTAAGAAATGGACGTTTTCAAAGAGATGTGTTACTACAAATATAATCAAGTTTTTCTTTCGATAATCGGATTATGGCCTTATCAAGACATAAAAACTCGACGAATTCGTATGTCCTTTGTGAGCGTTATTTTAATGATTATTCTTTTCATTCAGGTAGATCTTTGAATAATAAATTTTTTCTAATTATGAACAATTATAAAAATTACAATGTATTATGAATAATAATAATAATAATAATAATAATAATAATAATAATAATAATAATAATAATAATAATAATAATAAAAAATAATAATAATAATAATAATAAGCTTCAACATTGATTTAATTTATTCTTTAAAAAAAATTTGGTTATAATTTAAAGAGATTTTATATGATACAAAAATTAATATGATCTTTCATAGTTGGCCAAATTATTAACATCAAATTGCAGCGTGAACTTACTCATTGAGATTCTATCTAATTTTCTTCTTTGTTTTTGCATCGTGCTTGTTTTTATTACTGCCTACATCAACGAAAAAGGGGTATATTATTTATCTGATCTATCTTGTCTCTTCTTTCTTTCGAAGTATTAATATAATTTCCAGTAGATTAGAATAAATTATTCAATCAGTGCCATCGTAAAACATTTGAAATCTTTTAAAAATCCGTAGTTGACGGAGTTAATAGAACAGATCAAATTCGATTGGACAAAATTAGAGACGGAGCAAGAACGTAAGATCTTTCAAAAGTATGCCAATGAAACTCGCATGTGTACTCTTTTCTTACTGTGTAAGATCGAATATTATTTGATAACATAATTTCGATTAAGAATATAATAAGAACGAAATTTTTTATAGCAACGCGATCAAATATTAATATTCAATTATATTACCATATTTTATTTTATTTTCAGTCATATTATTCGGGTCTGTCAATGCCATCTCACTTTTAACTCTATTACCAATGTTATTAAATGTTGTTACGCCGTTAAACGAATCACGTCTCTACGAGATTCCGTTTCCAGTGGAAGTCTTTTTTGATACTACTAAATACTTTCATACAACTTTTTTTTAATATTCTTTCTGTTAAATATTATGGGATGTGTATCGATAGGAGTATACAGTTTAATTCTGATGATTTTACAACATTGTAGCGGATTATTTGAACTTGTCGGGTAAGACAAGCGATTTAAATAACATGTACAATATTTATTTTTGTTCCAAAATCTAATTCTTTCTAAATGATTGAAATTTTATCAATATTTAGATACATTTGGGAAAATTCAGTTGAGGATAAAAAAAAAATTTTTACAAATAAAGAGAATAAGAAAATTTATAAGAGAATAATACGTGGTGTGTGGTTTCATAAAAGAACAATTAAGTTAGTATCAATATAAAAAAATAAATTTTCTTAAATTTTAAAAAAGCTTAAGATTCTAACGTATGTATTTCTGAATATAAAATTTATGTTCGATCTGTTCGAAGATTCATCGCTAATATAAATTCAGTTTGCCAGAATAGTTATTTGATCCAGATTATCTTTTCTGGAATTTTAATCGATATCGACATTCTTCGAGTGAGTGATATTACTTTTATTATTTATAAAACTATAATTGTTATGATAAATAATTATATTGTTTAGGTATGGCAACAGACAACTTTTATGTTCATGATATTGCTAAAATACAAATATTTTCAAATTTAAATAAAGTATCTCTTTTAATCGTTATATTTTGCGTTTAAATACGCAAATATTACGTTTGAACAATAATGTTGCAAACAAACCACACACATATATATATATATATATATATATATATATATATACATATCGATAAGAAATATTTTTAAATTATCATAAAAGTGTTTTTAAGAAGAGTTTATTTCCCTAATAGATAGGAAAGATACATATTTTTTCAAGTAGATGTATATTATCGACGAAATGTAAAGTAGTAACGGTCTTTGTGACCGCATATGAAAAATTATAAATAATTTAAAAATAAATATAACTTATTAATATTAATCTTAAAAACTGAACGATGAAAAAAATATTTATTTTACGCGGAACATTATTGTTATTTTCCAATACTAATTATTAATGAAGAAAAATTCATATTTCATATTCGAAGGTTTTTGAATCAATTGATCACATAACGTAAAAGCATTATTAATAACATTTTTTATCTTTTTCTTAGATATTAAATACAAAGTTACAGTTGGAAAATTTCAAGGAAATTATGATTTGTATGATGCATATAATCGGAAACCTAGTCTGGGCATTCATAAACTGTTATTTTGGACAAAGAGTGATAGATCGTAGTTCCGACGTGCACACAAAAATGTAAATATTGAGTTATAGATTTAAATGAATAATATTTTATTGAATAAAAAAAAAATATATTTTTATAAAACTTTAAGATGTAATGCAAGATGGTATTTATCTTCTACAAAAATACAAAAATTAATTTTATTAATAATAACGAAAAGCATAAAACCGTCTTACGTATCGATTGGTGGAACATTCACATCTTCGTTGGAACTTTTTGCCTCGGTAAAATCTGTAACTAGATTGTATATTCTTATCACATTCGATTATTATTAATTAATTATTCTTGTTTTTAGATGATGCAAACTTCAATCTCGTACGCCATGATATTACACTCACTATAATAATACTTTTACGAGTTTCAAGATTTTGGTGTCACTTTTTTACGTAACATTACGATTTCAATAAATACAAGCATCTGAAGATGTGTTAAATTTAATGAATAGATTATAAAGAATATTTAGATGTAATAACGTTAGAAATAATTCTTTATCCTCGATTCACCAGAATTTCTGATTTCGTACTTCTAGTTAACACACCTTTTTTTTCTTTTCTTTTATTATCTTTTTTTACTTTTTTTAAATTCACGAGATAAATTAAAAGCCTCGCGAAGAATCGATTGTAGTTAACGAATGACGATATGTATCCGACTGAAGAAAAGTAGTACATACTCTTTGTTTGAGTATCATCGAAATGCGCAAGTCTTACTGAAGAGAGGGAGGTGCTTTATACTAATAAAAAATTCCCTTAATTATAGTGTGAAGAAGAAGGCACTCGTACGACTACCCTACAAAAGGTTCATATAATTGCATTCATTATCATCAATATAATATCCCTTCCTTCTTTTTATTATTTCTCGATTTCCCTCTCGATGTTTTCTCCTTCGAGGAAAAAAAAATATTTTTTACAGTGTCATATTGCTATACAATTTATTATTCATTACTGAAAATACGAGAGAATCTACAGATTAAAAAAATGAAAATTATAGGAAATAATAAAAAGACAAAGGTGGTAAGAATTTCTCAGTTTCAATTCTCGATTTTGCATATCATATTCGAACGTTCATCGTCAGGAATGGACTTCTTCGAAAATGGTCATTACAATTTTATCCGGATCAGTCTTTCTCCAATCGGACTTTGGCCTTCCACCGAACCAAAAACCAGATTAATTCGAAGGTTTATCGTTATACTTAATAGTTTCTCTATTTTATTGTTACAGGTATTAAAAATGTAATAAGGGATTAAAAATGTAACAAGCATAAATTTTAATAACAATGATGACTTTACTTGTCCATTGAAGATAAGAAAGCATAAATTAATTTTTCTCTTTCAGACGATAAAGATCATTATGAATAACTATAAAATAGATATCATTTTCGAAATTTTACCGTATTTTCTTGTCTGTTTCGCTGGTATGTTTATGCACTTAAATAATTCTATCAACTCATCACAGGTACATACAACGCAAAAAAAATTCGACATTTTTCAAATGGTTTATCTTTTTTATTTTTAAACAAAATCCTTTTTTCTCTAATTCATAATTTTTGTTTTTAGATGTATAGACTTTTAGAGATTATCAAAGACGATTGGCGCGAACAAGAAGGGACGAAAGAATTTGAAATAATGAAAAAATATGCATGGGATTCCAAAATCTATTCGATAATAATGTTGGGTAATTATAAAACAAAAAATTATTGATAATCATGTATTATAGATTAAAATATAAAAATTTTACAACGTTCGTTCTAGCAATACTTTTTTTGCCGATTTATATAATAATGATTGCATCTATTCTACCTCTTACGCTCGATTTCATCAATCCCTTAAACGAGACTCGCCCACGGGTCCTTCCATTTTTAATGGAATTTTATGTTGATGAACAGAAATACTTTTGTCCACTGTTAATGATAATATTTATTATGATATTAATATTAGGCCTAACCGTGATAAGCAACTGTACTCTATTTTTAGTCTTCATACAACATCTTTGCGGAATGTTCTACGTCGTTGGGTAAACGAATTATCGTTCATTATCGTTCAAGTAACTTGTTATTAATTAAAATAAAATAAATTGAATTTTATTGTTATTTCAATCATATCCTTATGTATTGTTTAATTGCTTATTTATATTTTCTAGTAACATGGTCGATAATGTCTTCAACGATAAACATTGTTCTGAACTTAAAACTTATGCGAAAATAGTCCGTTGTATAAAATATCATAAAGAGGCATTAGAGTTAGTATAAAATTTAAATAGCGTATCAAATTTTTCATATTGAAAGTTTTTCTTATATAACGTACTGTATTTACATATTTTAAGATTTGAAATGAAACTGCGTGCCTTATACGAACACGTTTACTTGGGATTAGTTATAATAGGGCTCTTTCTTATGGCTACTTCTATTATACAGGTAAAGAATGTTTCTATAATTTCTGTAATATTCAACTTTGTTACGTAATGAGTTGTTGAGTAATGATTGAGACGAATTACCAATAACACATTTTTATTCACAAATTACTTCTTTTTAATTGTTCGTAGCTAATACAAAAAAATGCATTCAAACTGGAAAATCTGATAGAATCTTCGGTATCCATCACCATTTTTATCAGTAGTATGATCATAATATATTTAAAGTGCTATTTTGGTCAGAAATTAATCGATCACAGCACTTATCTATTGAACAAAATGTAATTCTTTTTTATATATTGATTTTCATTAAGTTTTTATAAAATCAAAGAAAATTAAATTTTTTAAAAACTTATTAATTATATAAAAAAAAAAATTATTATTACAAGAGAGAATACGAAATATTTAAAGAATCAATGTTTTATCATTGATTTTTCAGATTTAATACGCCTTGGTACTTGCTTACTAAAAAATCACAGATATTACTCTGGTTTATGATGGCAAGAAGCACAAAACCATGTTATTTATCATTTGGCAAGCCTTTTTGTATATCTATTCAATTTTTCGCATCGGTAAGACATGAAACGAAACTTATATCATTCTGTAACATCTATTTTCAATGAAGTATATCTATGTATTTTTTTTTCAAGATGCTACAAACTGCAGTATCCTACGCGATGGTTTTTTGTTCTTTACATTAATTAATTCGTCTTACTTGCATGTACCATAACTTCGTAATCCAATATGTATTGTTATTATAATGTGAAAGTTGAAGTCATTAATGTTCTTCAAACAAACAAGAAAACCAAATAAAGAATAGCATATAAAACTAATAGCATATCATAATATATAATAATAATAGCATATAAAGTTCATTAAACATCCTAACGCTTTAATTCTTTCGAATAAATCGAAAGCAAAAACGAACGTCGAAACAATCAATAATGCTAAATTGTTTCCAAGAAACAAAAAAATATTCCTTAAACATCCCCCTTTTTCATCGTAAACCGAAAGAATACAGGTTACATAGTACTGAATTTTATTACCATCGACACGTGTCAACTTTCCTACTTCATAGTCTAGACCTTATATTTTTTCCCTTTTTTTAGGGTAATATACATGCTTGTAATACATATTGCCTATCATAGGAGTTATAAAAAGTTTCTTATTGATAGATGACGCAGGTAAGTAACATTTCAATGAAGCACAAAATGTTGCCTGACTTCAGACACGACACTCAAAAATTATATTTAATTATCGATATAAAATTTAAAGATAATCTCAATTAATTTTAAAATCATTTTTCTCTTCAAGTAAAAAATTAAATGATACAATTATACTTACATACGTAGGTAGCAGAATGATAACATCACAATCCATATCTTCAATCTTTCTCGTGAAATTATAAAATAGTTAATGTTACCAAAAAGGTAAAGGTAAAAGAAGAAAGAAGGAAAAAATTATATTTCTTAAAACTATTATATAAATTTTTTACATATAGTACTTCCATATGCAATTAGCTTCGATATAGATATTATTATTGTCCTTACATATTATTTTTTCTTACTTTTCTTTGTTATATCATATTCCTTAATACGAAGTATGAATTAAAATCTCATTGCAACGAAACGATTGATGATACAGCGCACTCCGACTAAAAAAGAATGATTGTACTCTGCGTTATTTTCGCTCGGACGAACACAAAGGTATTGAAGATAAGGGGAAAATTCTGCTTGCAGACTATTTTTCTTTAATTATTGATTAATAAACGTAAGTGTAAAGTGGGAGTACGCGTGACAATATCATTATGATTGACATCTCTCACTATCACCTTTCTTTTCCCTTTTTTCATTACACGCATGTATATACAAAGAAGTCATTTATTATTCATCGACTGGAAAAAAAAGAGTTTGTTTTTACGAAGATAGAAGGGAAATTATTATTCGATGATATAATAGCTAACAGAAAGAAACATAAGAATACAAAACATAACAGAAAATAAATGAAAGACACATTTCACATGGCTCACGATTGTCAAATAGGGGAACTAGATTTCTTTGAGAAACATTACTGCAAACTCAATCGAATTTTTCTATCATTGATCGGACTTTGGCCTTACTCCACATCAAAAAGGAGATTCTTTCGAATGCTAATCGTAAACGGAACTTTCTTATTTGCTTTGATAATACAGGTAAACAATACAATTTAAATCACTTTGTCCGAAAATATGGACCTTTGATAAGATCTTACTTTCAGATAATATTGATCATTACAATAGACAATTTTCAATTATTCATGGAAGTTATTTCTAACTTTTTCTTATATTTAACCTGTGTATTGATGTATTACAATAGCTTATTCAATATGCCAAAGGTATGAATGTTGAATAATTCAAATGATATTAGCAAAAATAAGAAAAATAATTCTAATTAATAATTCGCGAACAATATTATAGATAAGTCAACTATTGGAGTTTATTAAACAAGATTGGTTTGAAAAGAAAAATATGAAGGAATTTGAAATCATGAAGAAATACGCAGAGGATGGTAGAACGTACTCTTTGATAATAATAAGTAAGTCGAATAGAATAAAAAGATAATTTAATTTAAACTTAGAAATAATTAACTTAATGATTTTTTTTTTAGTATTAACTTATGGATTGATCTTTTCGGCGATATCCGTACCATCTGTACCATATATTCTAGATATATATTTCCCTCTAAATCAAACACGATTTCATACCTTACCATTCTCAGTAGAATTGTTCATAGACACAGATAAACATTATTGTCTGGCACTGTTTATCATTTTTTTCGCATCTTCTTTATCATGTATGGTTGTAGTAGGGAATTATACATTATTTGCAGTACTTGTTTATCACATTTGCGGAATGTTTTGCGTGGTTAGGTAAAAACATTTCAACAATTTATAATTGATTAAATATCTCATTTAATAGTTTCATCGTCCATCTATTTTCAGAAATATGTTAGATGACGTAATCGATATCACAAAGATATATATATATGATCGTAATACAGAGGACAAGATCTATGCAAAAATAGTTCGTAGTATAAAATATCACAAAAAGACTTTAGAGTTAGTATGAGCTAAAATATATAAGTTTTTATGTTCTCTTTTCATTAAGAAATTTATATTTTTCAAGATTCGACTCCATCTTTAATTCCTCCTTCGAACAGAGTCTTTCGATCCTGATAGTACTTGGTTCAATTATTATAATAATTACATTTATACGGGTGAGTAGTTATTCTTTTGTTTTTTTTATTATTTAATTAAACAAATTGTATTTACTAAAGCTTTTATTTTTCGTAGCTATTACAAAATTTCGAGTTCGAGCATGAAAATATAAGAGAAACCATTTCTTCGATATTAAATATCGTCGTCAATTGTGGTATACTCTCCATGAAATGTCATTTAGGTCAAAAAATAATAGATCACAGTGTTCTTATATTCGATAAAGCGTAAACTTCTTTTGTTTTTATCTTCAATTAATTTTAAGACTTGATAAGATCAACTACGATGAAAATATATAATTTATTTTATTATGCAACGATCGATAATTCACAGGTTCGATATACCATGGTATATGCTTTCTAAAAAATCGCAAATGTTATTATACTTCATGATGATGAGAAGTCTAAAACCTTGTTACTTTTTGCTTGTCAATTTTTTTATCTTATCTATCAAACTTTCCATGTCGGTAAGCAATTAATTACTCGCATAATTTCATTTTTATTTTTACCTTAAATTTATATGTATACTTTCTGTTTAAGGTCATTCAAACGACTTTGTCTTACGCTATGGTTATTTATTCTCTGCGATAATTTTTGCGATAACATGATATTCGAAATTGTTTTTCTAATCGAAGTTTCTAAATGATATTTAAGAAATTAATACTATGAAAAAAGAAATAACAACAAAACATAAAAACATAAAATAAATAAAAGTAATATAAATAAAGTTGACAAGTATTATCTTTCTGTTTCATATGATTCCGCATTTAATTGTAGTTATTCTTTCTAATCATATAATTTGTTATAAAGTATACCCAGCTATAAATTAAGGACTAATTGAATATCTTGTTTGTTAGGAAGAATAGGAAAAAAATTTATTAAGAAAAATATTTTATAATATCATAGTTTTAAGAATACGAAATAAAATACTTGACTTCCGATTAAACCAGAAGTTCAATGATTTTTAGGTTTTCTTCCGAAACCTGTATTTTTTTACTTAGTTAGACATTTTATTCAATTATCTTTAAGAAATTATTAAACGAGTATAGATCTAAAGTTAATAATTAACGAAATGACTAACACTTTCAAATGTAAACACTCTTGAGACGCCATGAAAAAATGAAAAACATACCAAACAATCTTACAATAAGTTTTATTACTACATTACTAAGGCCATTAATTGGAAATAAAAACTTAAAATTAATTTATAACAAAAAAATATAACAGCTTATTTAATTCAACACATATTCGAAGTGTCCACCACTATTTTATATACACATTTAACATCTTCTAATCACACTTTTTAATTCTTTGTACTTACATTTTATAACATTCCAGGTGTTATTTGATTAATGATGTTTATAATTGTTACTTGTAGTTCTAAATTTCTATGTATTCTTTGGTATATACTATCTTTTATAAATTCTTACACAAAAAAATCTAAAGTTTTTAGGTTAAATTATCTAGTTGGCCATTTAACAGGGCTTTTTTGTTAACAATGTAATGGTTATCAAATTGTGCTCTATACGATAAATTTTACTATGTTTAGTATTAATGTTTTTATCTACACAATATACTTCACACATTCACATCTCGTTAATTTTAACAATAGGACTATACTTGTTTAATAATTGTTTACAGATAATTGATTAAAATATCTATTTAATTAAAATAATGCAGGGTGCTCCATAAGAAAAAATAAATATCATTAAACTTTCAATTTAACCAGAAGTTAGATGTTTTATTTCGTATTTCTAAAATATTTGACACGTGAAATCATGAAACGTTACATTATAACATATTTTTCGATTGCTCCTAAGAAAGAAAATATTCAACTGATCCGTAATGTATAATGAACCGTATATTCTCTTTTTTTTTTTTCATCACTTTAAAAAAGTCCACTGATTAAACGTATGACACATAAGTATGAAATACTGTAAATTCATACAAATCAGTAATAAAAATCGATAGTAACCAGTTATTAAAGACGGCGTATATTCAACTAAAGAAGCTTAATTCACTCGTAATTTTTGACATACGAACTATAACACCGAATGTATGTCCTGGTTGAAAAAGATGGAGAAGAAAATTTTCTTGATTATGGGTTACGTGAGAAACATACACCTACATATATAAAGTCATAATAACACCGATACGTGTTTGTTTCTCGTCCCGCCGATCATTTTTCTATATTCTTATCTCTTATCATCATCTTTTATATTTATATTCTTATCTCTTAGATTCTTTATCTCTTTGGCTTGAAGAAAATAAAAAAAATTAAAATGAACATCGATACCACGCATTGTTTAAATATTAATCATAAGACAGATAGGAGAAAAAATGAAAATATTGTAAGAGGGTTAATTTAACACATTGCGTACGAATCACAAAATATCTTGTTTTCATGTTTTTTCCACTGAATCGATAACTTAAGCAACCAGGACAAATGTTTTTGTTACGTTACCAGGGTAATGAAGCCTTGAGCGTTCTTATGACAAATGATTAGCGAAATAACTGAATGTTGACATTCTGAAAATGCAAAAATAATCAATATAGTCAGTACATCAGTAGATCTGAGCCAACCGTCGTATATACCATACTTTATAAATTGTTTTACTATTGTACATTTTGGAATTTTAAAGTTCGTGTTTTAATTTGTAAGGAAATAGCTTTTTAAAAATCATTTATATTTTTAATTTGTTACTGATAATTTATAACAAAAATTATTTTATGAAATAGGCCATAATTCTATAAAAGTAGTAAAATGACACATAGATATAATGAAAATGAAAGTTAAAGTGAATTGTTGTTTGATGATTTATCGGATGCACCAAACAACACTTGCGATGAAAATGAATTCAATGATGGCAGCAATATTCTGGAATTAAGTGATTTGATTAGACATAGAAGAAGACTGAATAAAAAATATAATGTTTCAAGCGAAAATGAAGATTCGGAGATGGAGGCTGATAAGCCTATAATTGAAGAATGGACCGATGAGGATACTTTTTCAAATCTGGAACCTTTTAAAGGAATTTGTGGTACGTCAACATAATTACAAAGAAACTGGAGTGTGAAGGAAGCTGTTGATCGTATATTTGGCAATGAATTTTTCTAAATTATTTCTCAAGAAACAAATCGTTATCATTTACAAAATGTACATAAATATAAGGCTAATTCTAAACAAGAAAAATGTCTCATGTCCAAAAATAAAAAATTTGTTCGGAGTATTTTAAAGGGACAAATACGAAAGGAAAACATAAAAGAATACTGGTTCGTGGATCCATATTTGGCTATCTCTTCAAAATTAATGAGTAGGAACAGGTTTGAACAGATTATAAGATATTTACATTTTAACAATAACATGAAAATGAATGAAAATAGTAATAGACTCTACAAAATAGAATCTGTTTATAATTATCTGATAGAAAAATTTTAAACTGTTTATACTCCTCATCAGAATCTATCACTAAATGAAATCATGATCCTTTGGCATGGAAAATTAAAATTTAAGATGTACAATCCACGAAAGCTTACTAGATATGGAATACTTGAACGAGTATTATGGGAGAGTCAAACTAGATATATATGTAATATAGAAATTTATTGTGGACAAGGCAAAAAACTGCAGGACACTGTAACATTTTTACACCGTATTTCGGATATTAGCACCACCTTTATATGGATAACTATTATAATACTTTGAATATTGCTGAATTCTTATTACAAAATAAAATACGAATATGTGGCATAATACGCGCCAATAGATTACCAAGATGTTTAAAAATAAAGTCGTTAAATCTAAAAAATGGGGAGAGTATTTTCAAACGGAAACGTGATATTTTCTTGCAAATTTGGAAAGATAAAAGAGAGGTATGAATGATTTCGACAATTCATAAATTTGAAATGATTGAATCTACTGGAAAATATAAAACCATGCAGAAACCGAAATGCCTTGCAGACTATAATTTAAACATGAACGGTGTCGACCTTGCTGATCAGTATCTATCATATTACTTAATATTGAGAAAAACAATTAAATGGTCAAAAAAGATAGTATTATATCTCATCAACTGCGACCTGTTCAACGCATTCAAGATCTATAATTCGTGTAATAATGAAAAAATGAAATATAAAGATTTTCTACTTGCTGTGATGAAATTATGGACGACAGAAGAAAAATCAAAGGATACAGTTATGGATATAGAACAAAGTATTTCTAATACAACAAATCTACGCATCATCTACGCATCAACAAATCATCTACGCATCGAATCACTATATAGACTCTTTGATAATATTAAACAGTATATACTTGAACCAATAACGAGTAAAGGCAAAAAGTTCCCAACCAAACAATATAAAGTTTGTTCGTCCAATGGAAAAAGGAGAGAAACAAGATACTGTTGCAAATCGTGTCGAATACTATTGCACAATGGAGTATGCTTTACCAGATATCACACTTTAAAGCATTATTCAAGCATGTGAAATAAGTAATAGTTAAAATGTAAAAGATCTTATATAATAAATAGAAGTATAAAATATATAGTTATAATTAAGAATAATTTATGTAAATATAATATCAAATAGAAATTAAAAATGTACATATACGCATCCTATTGCTTGCCAAGCATGCTTCTGGAGCGTTCAAAAATGTGCGGGCCTTGGAAGCGCATTGAGCCCGCAGGACGCCGTATGCAATGTGTTAATAAGAGAAATATTTAGAAGACTACTTTCAAAACTGTGAAGAGTTTTTTTGTCAGTTTATTATTTTGATTTTCGATACGGAGAAATGAATTTTCTGGAGACTTATTGTTTCAATCCACATTGAATTTGTTTAAGTCTGATTGGTTTGTGGTCTTACACCAAGATAAATTGGAATGCTTTTTGTAAACTTCATTTTGATTAACATGCCAATATCGCTGGTAAAAGACAATGTTATAGATGTTAATTAAAAATATATGACACATACAGATATTGAATATATTTTCAGATATTAAATATTATTTGCATTTCCGTTGAACATTATAACACCAAATTAATTTCCGCAAGTCTCTGGTACTTTTTGATATACTTTTATTACGCTGTATCATATTACAACTTCTTTAAATTCTCAAAAGTATGATCAAATTGAATAATTAATTACTGTATTATTTATTTATTTTTGCGACATATTGGATAGCATTTTCTTTTCTTTTCTTTTTTTTTGGAATAATTTTACAGATAAGAGAGCTTCTAACACTTATTAATCATGATTGGTATGAGAGAGGAGGTACGAAAGAATTCGAAATTATGAAGCAGTATGCGAAGGAAAGTAGGATCTATATGATTATCATGATAAGTAAGTAGTACAATTTCTTATTATTAACTTACAGAATTATTTGTTATTAATTATATAATATTCTTTCAGTTACTATGCATCATTATTTGCAAATGCTGTTACATCAGCTACATCTTTTATTCTTGATGTTTTTTATTCATTAAATGGAACCAGGCCACGCTTATTTCCATTTCCAGCAAAATTTTTGATAGACATACAAAAATATTATTATTTCTTATTAATAATAACTTATACCAGTGTTTCGTTATTACTCTTAGCTGGCATATTGCATTACGCATTTTGTCTTTCGTTCGTACAACACGTATGCGAAATGTACATGGTCGTTGGGTAAGAAAAAAGGAAACATTAAATATTTTACACCTTACAATATTTATGATATCATGATATTATTATCTATTTTTATCTATTTCATTTTATTTTTTTTTTTTTTTTAGAAATATGTTAGAAGGTCCGTTTGATGATAGAAAACTCGATAATTTTAAGTCGGAGGATGAATCTTATTCAAAAATCGTCCAAAGTATAAAATACCACAAAGAAGCTTTGAGGTTAATATAATATTCGTTGACATGAATTTTATCAGAGTTAATTGTAATTTATTTTTATGAATTCATTGTCCAAAGATTTAACGCTGATTTAAATTCTCTATATGAAACGACTTACCTTTTTATGTTGATACTTGGACCTTTTTTCATGTGTTGTGGATTTATTCAAGTGAGTAACGTTTACAAGTGTTTTATCAAATGACAGAAATAAAACAAAATGTATTAGCAATGGATTTCTTATTTAAACGGAAATAGAATTGATCAACTAAATGGACTTATTTTATAAAATTCATATAGATATTAAAAGATGATACGTTTACAATTGAATATCTAGCAGGATCTATTGTAATTATTATAAACATTGTCTGCAATCTGATAGTAATATACGGAAATTGATATTTGGGTCAAAAAATAATAATCACAGTGTTTTTCTACTTCACAGAGAGTAATTTACATTTATATATTTAGATTTTGATATATATTAATATAAAAAATAAATAAAAAGAGAAACAATTTTTTGTATTTTTATTCAACAAATTTAAATAGTTTTATTTTATAGATACAGTATGCCATGGTACATGTTATCTGTTAGATCATAAATAAAAAAAATAAAATTTATTATAATGAGAAGTATGAGAACTTCTTACATTTCTCTTGGTAAGTTTTCTATCTTATCAGTCAAGTTCTTTACTTCGGTAAAAAATTCTTGATCTCTCGATTATTTTTATAAGAAATATAAATATGTTTATTTGATACGTTTTAATTAGTACAAACTGCGGTGTCCTACGCGACAGTTGTCAACTTCATACGATAATCCTACTAAAAAAGTTTCAGAAATGTAAGAACTTATTATTTGTTAATATTAATAGATTTAACTTATATGTAAATATGGGCAAAAATAGTATGAAGAAAGAAATTCAATAATAATTGTAGAATCTATAAAATAAAGAATAATCATTTGAATTATTCTTGCTAATGTAGCGTGTAATGTGAGCCCCTTCAGCATTAAGTTTTTCGAAGATCTCCGAGTTGTCTAACATAACTCTTTAATTTTATTTCTGTATCACTTTTTTTTCAAGGAACTTATAGATTCGATACGTAACGAAAAATATCAGACATAACCGGCTGAAGATGGATATGTCGCTTGATTGAACTGCGACTCAAGAGCGCAAGTCGTATTCAAAAAAAGAAGATAGAAATTAATATTTATAGAAAATATTTTTCATTATAAGTTAAAGAAACATATGAAGTAATGATAATCGTCGACAAATGTTTAAATTTTCCCCTAGAACAATTGTCTCTCATTTTTTCATAATAACGCATAAAAAAAGAACGGAGAGTATAAGGTAAACATTATGCCTATTATTATTAACGAATCGGACGAGAGCAGAATCTGAGGGAGAAAAAATAAAAAAGCGAACATTATCGTTCAGTTATTTTAGTGAAGAAAAAAAAACAAGTTTTTGAATCGCCGAAAGAAAAATAAATTTTTTTGAGAGTCGTTATTTCAATACGAATCGAATCGCTTTGTTTTTGATCGGTCTTTGATCTTATGCTAAACCGAAATGGAGGTTTATTGGAACTTTTATCACATACGCCAATTTTTTTAGCATGGGAAAATCACAGGTGTGTAAAAGATTTTTAAAAATCTCTTAAAATATATGATATAGTGATAGTTAATGAATTATTTTTCTTTTTAGTTAATAAATCTTATTTTTGGCGGCAAATATTTCTCTAATATCAAATTAATCGCCATAATTCTTTCAAATTTCCTAATGTATTGGGTCGTTCGGAAAGTCATTTCGTTTTTTTTTTTTGTCAAAATGAAAAACAATTTTCGTATAATGAACAAATATTTTATTAAATTAAATATTGGCCATTCTGGTCCAATACCTTTTGCCATCTTTCTGGTAGTAGCATGATTCCACTCTCATAAAATTTTTTGTCTTTGCTGGCAAAAAACTGATCGAGGTGGTTTTTGACCTCCTCATTTGAAGTGAAGGTTTTACCGTCTACAAAATTTTGCAGTGACCGGAACAAATAATAATCCGAAGGTGCCAGATCTGGAGAATATAGTGGATGTGGCATTGTATCCCATTCAAGCTGTAAAAGCTTTTGGCGAGAGATCAAACTTGTATGAGGTCTCGTATTATCTTGGTGGAACACTACACCTTTTCTGTTGATTAATTCTGGCCTTTTCTGTTGAAGTACATCATTCAGTTTGTCCAGCTGATGACAGTAGACTTCCGAATTAATTGTTGTGTTATCCGGTAAAATCTCAAAAAAAAACGATTCCTTTAAAATCCCACCAAACTGACAGCATCGTCTTTTTTTGATGGATATTGGCTTTGAAAATGCTTTGAACCGGTTCATTTTTTTGTTCCATGATCTCTTGCATTTGACATTATTATATACAACCCATTTTTCGTCCCCAGTAATAATGCGCTTCAAAAATGGATCATTTTCGTGACGTTTGAGAAGCGAATCACAGACGTCAACGCGACGACACAAATTTCTCTCCGTGAGAACATGGGGAACCCATATATCGAGCTTCGGGGTTAAACCCAAGCCTTTCAAGTGGTCATAAACAGTTGAATTTGATAAATTTAATCTCTCACCGATCTCACGTGTTGTTATTCGCCGGTTTGCATCAACTAATGTCTTTATCGTGTCTTTATCAGCTTCAACCGGCCTTTCAGAACGTGGTGCATTTTCAACATCAAAATTGTCGGATTGAAATTTTGCAAACCATTTCTGGCACTGACGTACTGTCAACACATATTTTCCATACACATCGGTTAATTTCTTTCTGGCTAGAACAGCATTTTTACCTTTTTTATAGTAAAAAAGTAAAATATGACGAAAATGCTGCTTATTGCTCTCCATATTTAAAAGGGCACCAACCAAAAACTACTGCGTAGAATCAATTAGACTTTTTCACACACAAGCCTTGCTATATCAGCTCTCCAAACATATAATGATTATGCGGCTTAAGTGTGAAGTTAGCTAGAAAAAGATACAATTAAATCCTCTGTCAGGAAAAAACTAAATGACTTTCCGAACGACCCAATACTTTTGCCACATCGTGATATATTACAATACTACGATCTGTCAGAAGTATTTATGTCTTATTAATTATTTTACTGCCTTATTATACATCTACTTTAGTGAATTATTGTATAATAAGAATATTAATTTATCATCTATTTTGAATTTCGTAAATAAAAACGTAAACAAAAGTTTAATGTCATTATTGCTATTTCTTGTTTATTTTCAAGTAACTCTACAGATAAATATTCTTTTGGAACGTATTCAGCGTGACTGACATAATAAAGAAGGTGCAAAGGAATTTGAAATTATGAAAAAATTTGCAGAAAAAGGGAGAGTATACATAATAATCATAATAAGTAAACATATTTCTTTCAATGATTGTTCATTTTTTATTTACTAAATGTTTAATGCATATTTAATACAAATTTTTTCAAATAATTTATCTTACGTCTATTATTGGGATCTCGCTTATATCGATCTTCCCTGTTTTCCGATATTGTTAATCCATTTAATGAAACTAGATATTGCGAACTATCTTATCTAGTAGTAGATTTTATAGGCCAAAAAATATTTTATTCACTTGACGGTGCTATCT